GCCCACATGTGTATTAACTGTATGCATATACGTGCATTAGTGTATTAAGGACCTGTTTGGTGTGTTTACATCGAGTTTTAAAGATAACTTTGAACTAAAACCTCTAAACACCATGTATTTGGTGTCAAAAGATGGATAATTAAAATACCTTCATTCTGATATCAATCTCAATGAGTGATGTAGTGTGTGAAATGTAAATTTTGAGCCAAAAAGGTGCTTTATTGTAGATATTCCTCTGATTTTGGCCAGTATATCGGTATATTAACTGGACAAAAGTGATAAGACATTTAGTAGTGCAGAAAGTTCTAAGGATTTGGAGCGCTGAGTGCAATTGATAAGTTCTTCTTCTGTTCTCTGGGATGTTTCAGGAAATGTGGACATAATTGGCAGTTGCCTCTCCCCTCCCCCACCCCCACCCCGCCCTTTCCAGCCGCTTGTCATAATCTTGCCCATGCCCAAGAAAATTAAGTTAGTGCATCGATTAACATGAATATAATATAATATTTCCATATTTGGTTTAATGGTTTATTTTGCCTGACTACTAAGAAAACACGTGTATGCTTGTAAGCAACCAATAATCCGCATAATTCCTATTGTAATTAGATTAGAATGACATAAACTTTTCTCATAAAACAGTTTCGGCTAGGTATGCGTAATTAAATACCTAAAGCCCCTGAGCTTCCGGGGGCTCCGCACCCTGGACCTCACCAAGGGCCCATTATAAGACTGGTCCCTGGATGCTCATCTCACCATAATTAAATGCCTTAAACGCTGAGCTTCAAGGGACACAGCCCCCTGGACCCTACTTCAATTTACGCTGCACTCGCTCCGCTCTACCTGATCGTTAATACTCCACTTTGAAAAACGTTCAGCGGGGCCGGCATGTAACGTGTAAGAGTGGTGGTGGTGCAGATTTTTCTTCTGCCCCCCAAGAACGTTTTTGCTCATTACACCACTGCCCCTGAAAGGTGAGCCCCCTGGAATGTTTGCCCCCTCCCCCCAATTCCGGCGCGCCTGGTGGGGGTGTCTGTCAGATGTCATTAAAATACCCCAACCTCAATATCGAGCTAGATCAGCTTTAAAGGAAACCCAAATGGAACCTATATGAACAGATTCGTCACAGGTCAAAGATACACAAATGGCCATTGCCAGACGATTTAAATGGTGGGGAGTGACTGCCATATAGATATAGATTGTTGAGAGAAACCTTGCTTGACTAATGTGAAAGGCAAATTGTACTTTAAACGTCCCTTTCCAGCACTCCTTCCTGATATGAATAAGATAAAAAAAAATAAGAGCTATATACCCTAGGCGCGGATCCAAGATTTCTTGGGGGGGGGGGGCCAAATTTGAAATGATGCGAGCCAAATATTGGTACGTAATGGTGACACCGGCAGTGGCAAAAACGTTTGGGGGAGGGGGGAGGGGTAGATCAAAAACAAATCCCCATCACCCCACTCTTACATGCAGGCCCCGCTGAACGTTGGGGTGGGGGTCAAGGGGTGGAGCCCCTAGAAGCTCAGGGGTTTTGGGCAATACATTAAGGTCAGATGAGCATATTTTGATACCTTATTTGTGACACTGGCAGGTCACGAATTGGTGTGGGGTTCCAGGGGGCGGAGCCCCCGGAAGCATAGGGGTTTTGGGCAATAAATTACGGTCAGATGAGCATATTTTGATACCTTATTTGTGACACTGGCAGGACGCAAATGAGTGTGGGGTCCAAGGGGCGGAGCCTACAGAAGCTCAGGGGTTTTATACATTAAATTACCGTCAGATGAGCAAATTTTGATACTTTATTTGTGACACTGGCAGGACATTAATTGGCGTGAGGTCCAGGGGGCGGAGACCCCAGAAGCTCAGGGGTTTTAAGCATTGAATTACCGTCAGATGAGCATCCAGGTGCCAGCTATAGGGCACCAGGCGAAATCCAGGGTGCAGAGCCCCCGGAAGCTCTGGGGTTTTTATGCATTTATTCACGGTCAGATGAGCAAATTTTAACCAAATATGGCAATATTATATTATATTCATGTTGATCGATGCACTAACTTATCTTGGGCATGGGCAAGATTATGACAAGCGGCTGGAAGGGGGCGGGGTGCCGGGTTGGGGGAGGGGAGAGGCAACTGCCAATGTCCACATTTCCTTAAACATCCCAGTACAGTACAGAAGAAGAACCTTATCAATTGCACTCAGCGCTCCAAATCCTTTGAACTTTCTACACTACTAAATGTCTTATCACTTTTATCATGTCCCATTTGCAGGCCAAACAAATGAAAAAGTTGAATTCCAACTGCATTTGAAAGATAATACTAATTTAGAACTTCCCTAACAAAGGTGGGGCTTGAAAATGACTTCTAGTGGGAAAATAACGACTATTAGTTGTCAAATCGACTTTAGGGCTATAGAGCCCAAAAGTAATAGTCTTGATTTTCAGACAATTGTACCGAATATGGTCATACGTTTTATGCTGCGCAAAGAATCAATCAGTTTAATCTTGGCAATTACAAGAAGTGGCTTATTGATGTAGACAAATGCTCATGTACCCTTTACAACTCTTTTCATGTATGTTATTACCAAAGAAGAAAAAAGCCAGTCAGTCACTCAATAGTGTCTGACAGTAAAGTCTAGCAAGTAAACGGGTTTCCTTGCATAATTTGAATATGAGGACACTGCTAACGTTTAAATTTCACAGATAGGACACACATGACATATTCATAATTCCTGCAAAGTTCTACAGAATTTGAGGTTGGCTGCAAAAGGGACATAGTACCTTTAATATACTGATATACTGGCCAAAATCAGAGGAATATCTACAATAAAGCACATTTTTGGCTCAAAATTTACATTTCACACACTACATCACTCATTGAAATTGATATCAGAATGAAGGTATTTTAATTATCCATCTTTTGACACCAAATACATGGTGATTAGAGGTTTTAGTTCAAAGTTATCTTTAAAACTCGATGTAAACACACCAAACAGGTCCTTAATACACTAATGCACGTATATGCATACAGTTAATACACATGTGGGCAAAAATGTTGTTTTTGTGGAAATCAAATCAATAACTTTGGATTGCTATAACTTTTTATTGAAATGATATATAAACCTCTCCCTCGCACAGGATATTGTCGTTGTACATAAGCAAATTCCTGGAAAGTTATTAAAAAAATTAATTTTTCAATTTTGATATATGGAAAATAATGTTTTTTGGTAAAATTCAATTTTTTGAAAAAAAAACACAAAAATCATGTTTTTTACTTAAATTTGCGATGTTAATTAATCCCAAATTCTTTAAAATTGGTATCAAAATGTAGATAATTTAACTCTCTTTCATATGACACTAAACTCATGGTGGTTCAAGGTTTCCTTAAAATATTATTTACAAAATACTATTTTGTCGTCAAAAGGGCCACTTTTTTGGTTGGGGGCGTCCCCCTGGCCACACCCACCACTTAGAACATGCCAGACGGTCAATTTGTTATGTGAAGGTATGCGATCTTTACATCTGTGCACATGAAAATTGGTTTCCTTCCCAGCTAGGTTGACCCCCCCTGGCTCCCGGTCTAACCCCCTATGGATTTTATTTTTAATCAAACAATGAATCCCGTGGAGTTTTTGGTAAGCCTGCAAGGTCTTACTCTTATTTTAGTCTAGTAGAACCAACATAACTCTAGATCTAGATCGAACTCTCGTAGACTCTAACTTAAGATCTAAACTTTTGTTTGTTGCTATTTATGTCGCTATTTTATAAAACAAATAACGCACTTGACCCTGTTGTGCGAAACGTAAATGCAGTGTACGCTCGGTTTCTTTAGATGGTTCGCACTGTCAACTCGCCGCAAGCGGCTTGTTGCACAGAGCGGCACCAATCTACAGAAACCTTGCACGTACTGCATTCACCGCTATTGCACTCTGGGCCGTGCGTTATTTGTATACTGTATTGATCAGGGGTGATAGTGAGCACTAAAAAAAAAAGTTTTTTGTTTTTCCCTCAACCACGCCCCCCTTGAAAAAAAAAAAAGAGGAATCGCGGGGGAAAATCTAACAACGTTCCCCCCTTTCGAGTAAGAAAAATTGGGAAAATTGGGGAAAAAATTGGGCAAAATTGGGAAAAATAGAGAAAATAAGGGGGAAATGGGGAAAATCAGGATAAAATAGGGGAAAAAAAAAGAAAAAAAAAAATTGGGAAACCGATTTAAATCAGGTTTTTATCAGGCCTGATTGACACCCAATGCGAATGTATCCCCCAGCAGTGGCAGTGAATTTGTCATCCTTATGTTGGAAGGAGGGACAAAGATCCCCTCTCCCCTTCCTGAAACAAATAGATGGCGTAGAGAGGTCGCCACTAGTGGCTCGGACTATTGTCAAGACGAGAAGCATTATTACCGACACAATATATGTGTAGATTAGAGTATAATGCATCTTTGTAGAAAATTTGAAAGAAATCTGTCAAGAAATGTGGCAGTTAGAGCGCACATAGACAGCCACCAAAATATTACCTTTGACCCTATAACAGATGGAACAGAGGTGGCAGCATCATCAAACACTAAAGAATTGTAGATTGTCATAAGACACACCTCCATACAACATTTGAAAGAAATCCGTCAAGAAATGTGGCAGTTAGAGCCCATAAAAGACATATGATCTTTGAACATATAAGAGACGGAACAATGGGGGCAGCATCACCAGAAAAGAGAGATGTGTAGATTGTACCAAGATACATTTCTATTCAAAATCTGAAAGATACCCATCATGAAATATGACCTGCAGAGCGCACACTAGACACCCACCAAAATGTGACCTTTTAAAACACGGACACTGGAGGCAGCATCACGAAAATCTAGAGGCTTGTAGGTTATACCCAGATACACCTTCATACTAAATTTGAAAGAAATCTGTCAAGGAATGTGGCAGTTAGAGCGCACACAAGAATATGACGCGCCTGACGCTGCTGAATCCAAAGTACCCCATCGGCATACTGCCGGGGGATACAATAAGTAATAAATGAAATAGAAATCAAAATTGATTCAAATAAAAGAAATCATCAAACCTTTTATTTTTGTAAGCCTCCTATTCTCCTCAAGATGGTCTAGGTACTTTCTGATGATTGAGGCTACAACGTGAGTCTTGCCACACCCACCCCTTCCTAGGATAACCGTCAAGGCGTTCTTACAAACATGGAGTGCTGCCTCCTGTTGGTAGGAGTCAAAGTTGAACTCCAAGAAATCTTCAACAGGCAGGGTCCATGGCTTTGCCTCATGTTTGGCGAGCAGTCTTTCCATTGATCGTGCGATACTCTTCTCGTATCGGCGATACTTGCTCCAGTGGAACTTTACGTCCAATTGGGAAGTTTTTCTGTAAACAAAGGAAAGACAAAGGGAGCATAACACCGCAGCAAAAATAGGCTTGTGATTGAGAATTTTTTCTTTAGAGCACAAGCCCACCCAACTACAGTAGGCATGCAGAGAGATTCATCCTTTTTTTTTTATACTTAAGAAAACTGCACAAGTACACCAATATAACCCTGACAAAGAAACACCTAGGATCTAGAGAAATCATATGAAGGCAAAAAAAAAAAGCGGACTTACTCTTCTATCTTCACCACTTCCCTCTCCTGAAGTTCCACAAAGGGTTCCTCCCTGATGTGGCCAAAAGGAACATTCTCGCAGGCATCTCTGCGCCAAGCCGTCTCCATTTGACGCTTGAACAAGAACGTGTGTTTGCCTTCCTTACACCTAGACTTTACGATGTCGTAGAGTTTCACCACCTTTGCCATCTCGACTGAGAGTTTTTTTAGTTTTTTGTTTTGCTTCGTTTTTGGTTTGGATGTTGAAGGTCCGACGGTGTCTTGGTTGGCAGTGGATGTGGAGGGTCGGTCAAGAGTAGAGTTCTGCTTGCCCGAGGACTTGGACGAGGGGTGTGGAGCAGAAGCTTGGTTGGTCGTACATTTGAAGATGTCGGGCGGTATCATACCAGCATTCACAAAGCCTTGGAATGAAACCTCGATGGTACCCCAGTTGTGCTCTCTCATGGACTGCAATTATTATAGGGACAGAGAAAGATCATACAATTTATTAGGATGTTAATGAAAGTTGAGTATTGCAATAAATGCTAGTCTAAGACATTTTTTTATAATTATTTTATTGGCAGGTTCAGACAACTCATTTACTGCAATTCAGAATAGAGAAAAACACATTTACTTTGAAGGGTGAAATTGCATTACCAGAACTATAACATTGCCTTCACTAAACAAGCGAAATTGAATGATGAAAAATAATATAATGGTGGTGCCTTTTTATATAGCACACATGTCCATGATGCTTCTGGCAATCCAACATTATTAGTATTACCCAGCCAAAGCCAAGAGGCCAAATACGTAGCACTCTAGCATATCAGACACCCATTTACACCTGGGTGGAGAGTGGCAATTCAGGGATTAGTGTCTTGCCAATATCTTACCGTATAAAATCCCAGGTCTTCTGGGGAATCTTCCAGCACAGACTCCAGCCGTTCCAGGTTTCTCAATTTCTCTGTAGACAGGATAGAGAATGCTTCTCTCTCCATCAACAGAGGGAGCCCTTTGAAGAGTAGCGGACACTTGAAACATCTGTAGACGTACCTCAGATCAACTGTGCAAAATCAGTATTATAACAAAAATTGCATAAAATGAACATAACAATCTATTAATAATATGGTTGCAATTCTATTCACAATCCACAGTGAATCTAAATTTTATTATTTGCCCAAAGGTTGCATTTCATCACCAATGTAGGGTAAGGGTTGTGATTTGGGTTTTGGGGTTGGAAATACTGTATGTGTGCTCCTAGATCCATGGCTGAAGTTATGAATATGGATATTGTAAGGAATTGACCATCAAGTAACACAAGTATTCACTGATACATTGTATTACAAACACAAAGTTGTTACAACACTTAATGCATCATTTTTCATTGCACTTGTTACATGTACTCACATTTTGGCTTCTTTTCCTCTTCATCTCCATGGCTTGGTACATGTCTGAAGCATCTGTTAGATGGATCAAACCGCTGCATGATTACCTTAGCAACCTGCATCATCGGTATCGCCACTGTGTCTTCGGGTTTTGTCTCCTTCTTGAGAGCATCTTCCAACGCCTTGAAGAACTGACAAAAGGTGAAGTCTGTATGCCCCTTGATACGATGCCACTTCTCGAAGTAGTCCCAGAAGGCTCGCTTCATCTGGTCGTCTGCGCTCCCTGGTCTTGGAAAGTTGAACACATAGGAGAGAAGCAGCTGGAGGAGACTCTTCCCTTTCTGCCCCTGCTTGTATCGGAGAGTGTAAGTGGGGGTTCCCTGGCAGATGTAGATGCCCCCTTCCTCAACAGCTCTGAAGGAAGCATCCCACCAAGGTCCATCCATCAGGAACTTACCCTTAACTTTGATCTCTTTACCCCCTTTTTTTAGTATCATGATGCCTGGAAAAAAGTCATACATCAAAATTGATCTTTTTAATGTACAGTCGAACCTGCTTTAACAACCACCTGTATAGAAAGACCACATATTTTGTTTTCCTTGAAATTGGTTTCTCATTGAAACTTGTACTATAGGCACCTGTACATGAAGACCACCTGCCTTTAAAGACCACTTTTCTTGTCTCCCTTGGGCCGTCTTTATAGACAGGTTACACTGTATATATAACATGACTATATTGTCTTGCCACAAATATGAAATTTCACTCTTCTTATCAAGCTGTTTTAATTAGGTTGTCATTTATTTGTATTTAGTTTCTTGTTTGCATTGAAATGTTTCACCTCTAGGTTGTACATGTAACAGACCATGCTACCCGTTTCCCTGATTTTTCAGGTTTCACACAATTCAACTTGTTGCAATGGTGGGATCGACCAATATTCATTTAATGAACAACTTGTTTTTCTGCAATGTATAATTTGAAATAATAATAGCAACCAAAAAATTACAGTAAGAGTAGGAAATCTTTCAAGGGGCTTTATATGACCCAGCAGCCAAGATACAGATGTAAAATGACCATGGTGCAAGACCTGGAAGCTTGGCAGCTGGAGACGGCTTTCTTCCAGAAGCTTTGGTATTCAAGGTATATTATACAATTACAGTATGTATCCTCTGTTCATAGCTGTTTTCAACAACCCATCCAGCTCAAAACCTCAATTTTTTGTAGAACAAGATTGGCCTACTTACGCTCCCTTAAAGGGACAGATCTGGCCCTGGCATACGGAGCTCCGTTCTCAACTGCTATATCTTCTTCTAGCTCCAGGAAATCTTCCATGGTGTCCTCCTCGTGGACCGGATCCTGGACCTCATCTTCGCCACTGCCATCATCTGCCTGTCTCTCCTGTTCTCTTCTCTCTGTTACACGATACCTACGGAAATATGCTGTGATATCCTTCACTCCTTGATTGCGTTTAGGCATGTTATCTTCTGCTCTGTGGTAAAGAATAAAATAATACAAGGGAATCATTATATTGAGCCTTAATTTCATTACAAAAGGAACCAACTTTCAACCTGTTAACTACTGAATTGTATCATTCGTTGAATCAAATTTTCTTTCATCATGTTCATATCCTAAAAAAAAAACATGGATAAACTTTTCGCCAGATTGTAGCAAAATACGTTTGGTTTATCCCCCCCCCCCCCCCTCCTTCCATGCTCTTGTTCCCCGGCCCCCCCACTCAGTGTTATTTAGGGTACGCATATGCTCGTACCCTCTTTTTGAAAGCACCCCCTATCTGAGGACTGCCAACATTTCCGAACCCCCCTTTTGCGGGCTTTTCGCGGGCTTTTCCTGCCTTGGAGACCCCCCTAAATCAGGAAAAATGCTCAATGTACCCCCCTAGATTCGGAATAATTTCTCAGGAGTCCAAAGAGATGAGAGAAAAAAAGAAAAACACCCCCTTTTTAAAGAAATCTCCAGGTGAAAAGTCAAATACACCCCTTTTTTTACAATTCTCGGGCCGGACTTTGTCGCACGAAAAGTACCCCTTTACCGGACATTTTGGCAACACGCATGCGGTCATTCCGACCTCTGAGTGGGGGGGCCGGGTCTTGTTCATGCAACAAGGCCTCAAGGATAAGATAAGATAAGATAAGATAAGATTTTATTCGTCTTTCTTTCAAATGACATACAGAGCATAACATTGGATCATAACACATTTACAAAGCAAAATAACAAATTATGATAATGATAAAAAACATAGCTAACTAAAAGAAAGACGAGGAGACCCTGGTAAAAGCAGAGCTTGTAATTATTAGGGTCCCCTCTGAGCCGGATAAAACATGATGAATAGATATTTGTGACTACCTAAGAATACAATAGGGAAAAGGGGGTATAACAAAACAAGAAGTGTACACACACACAACAACAACAACAAAAGAGAGACTAGACTAGACAAGACGGGAGAAAAGAGAAAATATGAGAAATAATAGAAGAATACAGCACATCGACAATAGGCACAGCACACAACGGGCACAAGACAACAGGGGGAGGGAATAAGAGGTTGACAATCTGAAAATATTCAGTTAGACAGTAGACACATATTAATATCAAGAAGAAAATTTACATTTATAGTAATACATAATATATCTTGGCACCATAATAACTACAAAAATGAACTACTCTATGAGTCACGGTATTTATCGAGAAGATAAACCTTAAGTTTACACTTAAATGAAGAGAGACTAACAGATTGCTTAACGCTAGAGCCTAGAGAGTTCCAAAATTTAGGTCCAGTAAAAACCAAAGTATTAAAAGTTAACTTTGTCCTTACTTGGGGTAAGTGAAACGCAGAGGCATTTCGTGTAGCATGGTCATGAACTTGACTATTTTTCTTAAAAATGCTGACTAGAGCCTGTGGAAGGACACCAGAATCGAAGTTGTACATTAAAGAACCCAGTTGAAGGTGATAAATATCTTGCACCTTTAAAATTCTATGCGTATAAAAAAGCGGATTAGTGTGCGTACGAAAGCTAACGTTACAAATAATTCTTAAGACCCTCTTTTGAATCAAATATAACTTTTCAAGGTTAGTTTTAAGAGAGTTACCCCAAGCAAGAACACCATAATTAAGATAGGGGAGGATTAATGTTGAGTACATTAATAAAAGGATGCCTTTAGGTAAAATTGATTTCAATTTATGAATTACGCCACTGTTTCTTGACAATGTCTTATAGAGATGATTTACATGAATTTTCCAACTCATTTGCTCATCAATGTGCAAACCAAGGAATTTTGTTGATGATACCCTATCTATCAATACATTATTAAATGATACATCTCCTGGAAGCACTTTGATTGTATTACTAAAAAACATATAATTTGTCTTTTGCAGATTTAAAGACAATTTATTTGCTTGAATCCACAAAGTAACTTTACTTAGTTCGAAATTAAGGCCTCAAGACCGTCAATACTACTGGGCCAGAAGGGATGAGACCACACAGCAAAGTCACTGACAGGTGGCTATCTCATTAACTCAGCTCTCAACTAACATTAAAAAAAAGAGGATCATGGGGGATCAACAGGCACCGATTGGGGGAGTTTTCTATATAGAGCCTTAGAGGGAGCAATAAGCTACAAGTAGGACAGTGGGGCTTTAATAATCTGTGTAGGGAGAAGGTTGACAAATATCAGTTCTGTTACAGAATTCCCCATATCAGACGGTGATTTCTGTCAAGCATGTCCCGAGTCCTAACTTTTACATCTCCTCCTCCACATCTCCCCCTCGTCCATGCACATGATGCAAGAACTAATCCAGCTAGAATTAATACAAACCCTCAACTCAAGCAATCTACGGTTATAACTGAATAATTTGATTGTACTTACCTGTCTGTTTATATGGTCAAGTGTCTGTTGTTGCTTTTAGTTTACTACCACAAAGCTAGCACAGTCATTACCGGTGCAAGTGGCGTGCTAATGCTATGCCTACGTGTAAATAAACAAACCGGCAATTGATTACGGTAGTACGAGTCTCGACAGGCTCCGTATCGAATGATGATGTATGATGTAGTCCAAACGGTAGGTCTAGATCTTCTGAACTATACTGCTAGCTACTCTAAGTCCAAGCTCCCCAGCCTCAGTTCACGTGTTAACCTTAAGTTTAAGTTGAAGCTCAACTCAGACTCTCTTGTTTACTTCAATTCAGCCAGGTTTTTGTCTTCATGTACATGTACGTGCAGTGACAGTGTAGGCATATCCGTATTGTACGTATGTACTGTATGCCGGTGGTGTGGCCGTGGTTACTCAAAATTCCCGCTAGTATAGAGCTCGCGCTCGACGCTCGAGAGCGCCCATTCAAGCTCGAGTATTACGTAATTGTTATTTCCTGTCGACTGATAGGGTGATAGTCTAATGACAAAGACCCTGATAATGTTAATTCGTCGGAGACTCAGGGTCACCTCCCCTTTCCCCCTATAATTTGTTTGTTTGTTTAATCTCTTCTCTTTTCTTTTTCGTTTCTTAGTAGTACTAGATCTAGTAGGCCAAGAATCGTGCCCCTCCACTTAAACTGGGCCCGCGGCCTCCCGTTTTTTCCACAAAATCCTCTTCATAAATTTCAAGTACCATTTGATGGTGGCTGCATGAGTTATATGAACTATTGATTTTTTCTCGAAAATGGCAGACAATGGTCACCTTCCTTCTACAAAAATACTATAAAAATGAAAAAAAAAGGCCTACTAATCGACACCCGGCCCCCCCCCCCCCCCCCTCCCCAATATGATAATGATAATAATAATGAACGATAATAATACAAATATATAGCGGTAACAATAAAATGATAATAATGATAATAACAATAATAATGATAATAATACAAATAATAATGATAATAATAACCATTATAATGGTAATAATAATGAGAATAATAATAATGATAAAAGAAGAAAAAGACAAACAAGAACAATGAAAGATGTAGATAAATCATAAATGAACACACTGGCACATTACATTATGCTGTTTGGCTGCGCTTATATTGGCCTTAAAAAAAGATGTTGTATTGCCCTTTAGAGTTTAGGCCCTTAAGAGGTGCCAAAACATGGGTCGGTCGGTCGGATTTTTTTTTCTTTTTTTTTCTTCTTCTTCTTCTTTTTTCTCCCTCTTTGGGCCGATATTTCTCGGTTTTGAATGCTTTTTTTAAATTAAAAACGGTTTAAAAAATCTTTTTTTTTAAAAGGCCTTATGATGTCATTGTTCAAGAAAGTAAAAGCTAGCCGCCTCCATGCATGACTGTGCAACTCTTGACGTTTTCTTAAAGATAACATAATGAGAGAAAAGCAAATGGGTGCTAAGGTATGACTTCAATGGTAAATGTGCAATTAAATATAATCTGAAAGTTTGAATAAAAACAGACCATTATTATTAAATGATAAAAAATTGGGGAAAACTGATTTGATCGATTCCTTAATAATATTCACCTAACTATATTATTACAATTAAATTACATTTTAGGTGTATGTAAATTGTCAGAAAGCAACGAATTGGCTCTATGTACCATTCCAAACATTTAAGTATTGTAAAAAAAAAAAAAAAAATTAATGCTGATTTATGTCTTCTTTCATGGAAAAATGGTTAGGAAAATTCAAAAATGGTTGGGAGAATTTACTGTAAGATTCAAAGAAAACCATACAAAATCTTTGTGCTTTGAACATTTTTTCAGGATTTCTGCATGTTAGATGGTTAAGTAGAAGGAATGTAAGTTTTTAATACTAACATTTCATACAAAAATTAGGCAGTTTGTTCCAAAACCTGTTTTGTATACAAACACAGGTTTACAGTTTACATAAACCAGCTCGCTGATCTCACATATATTGTCTAGAAACCTCGTGAGTCTTCTCATTCTATAATATATCCCAAGTTGGCCACCCAATATTCCAATGTGCATCTTCTTTTTTTATCTTCATATATCAAATTTAAATCCAACTACATAGTACCACATACATCTGTGAATGTTGATGTACACCCCATCTTTCTTTCTTCTTTCTCTCTCTCCCTCTCTCTCTCTCTCTCTCTCTCTGTCTCACTTTCCCCTTCTACCAATATTTGTTCCACCATATTCGTATTATTATGTATCCATTGAGGGTAGTCATGCTATCAAGCTTTGCTTACTTTTTCAACCCTCCTGTTTGATGTTTTAGATTAGTTACTTTATTCGACATTATATTAGTTTGAAATGTGTAAAATTTGCAATATTTTGTTTGTTATATATTTGTAAAAATGCAAAAGAAAAAGAATATCAAACAGAAATAAATAAATCAAATCAAATCAAATCAAATCTTTAAAAAAGAAAGAGAGACGAAAAATAGAAAAGAGAAGAAAACACCTGTACATAATTATATTATATAGAACCACCTTCTTGCATGGAGTCCAAGCCTAAGTCTGCATCCAAAAAACAGAAAATGTGTGCTGATTGGACGAATGCAATATTGATTCGAGGCCCTTTCAAGATGATTTTAATCTCGATTAATCTTCAGCTGCTTATAAGCTTTAATTAGTTGATGCGTCCATCTATTCTTTGGGCCTTTATTCAGCGCTCAGTTTCGGTGGCCCAAGGTTCGGACGACCATTATTCTCTTTTACTTGCCCCTTCCTTTTCCTGTTAAAGCTTTCTTTTATCAACTCCACCCTATAGATCTGAAAGCACTCTTTCAGTCGGTGTCCCGCCAATATGCGTGTAGGGATTATAGATTAACAAGCCATCAATCAAAATAGCACAAAGGTTTTAATCTTTGTACTTATACTTTTCACGAACTTGAACTGTCAATGCATGTCCACTCGTACTGAGGTGTAATGTAAAAAAAGTTTATCATTCTCTTGGATATTATGTTGCATGTCACTACCTGTTCGACACCCTTAAAAAACATCTGATGATCTAGATTGCTACTTTTTGGACGTGAGTATTATTATAATCATCATCTCGCTGACGATATTGCTACATCACGACCGGCGTTCATTCACAATCATTTTGAATGGGTCCTATGTGTGTTTATGTTACCGAAGTATATTAATAGTCCAATTCAATACGCAGCGTCATCATTGAATCAACAGGTTCATTTACGGGAGACTTAATTAGAGAGATGACTTTTCCGGCCCTATTATAATAAAAGTTATATTTGCAGTATATAGACTGATGGAATCAATAGGTTAATCTTCTTCGGTTGTTTTGTTTATTTTATTTTCATTTAATTTTCGTTGTTTTTAATGTGTTGTTGTTGTCGCTACTGATGATGTTGTTGTCTACAAGTCAAGAATTAATAGTTCGCGTAGTTTGAGGGTCTATACTTGTGTAAATATATGCGTCGGTAAACTTATGGCTGAGCGATAAAGAAAAGCTCAACATGGGAATTCCTAACTTCATTCCAACCTTCAATCAACACGCTAACCAGAAAATTTGACATACCCAGTTGCGGCCCTGATATACTACGAAGGTGTTTACATCACTCACCCCCCCCCCCCCTTCCCCCCCCCCCCCCCCCTCCGACTGGGCTCCGTCTCTGATTCGCTGCCACCACCCTCCCCCCAACCCATGCAGGTAGGTCACTTTATAACGCTGACCATAAACTTTGATAAAGCTAGTCACAACCCAACTCTATACCCTTAACAATATAACCGATGGCGAGTCAGATCACGCCCAACCTCCCCCCCCCCCCCCTTCGGCCTCTTCGACGCCGGGCCCCAACACGTCTCCGATTATTTTTTGTTTTTATTCATTTCTCTCATAAAGAAAAATTGTACATTATTTTGAAGCGGAGATCGAGTCGAGGTTTGGAGTCTAGTTTTCTGCCATGCAGTTTAATTTAGCATTTTCACCAGTGTCCTCAATCAATAATGAAATCTTATTGTGCCTCTATTACATAAAAACACCCAAAAGCGTATGTGTTTCAAGAACCTCTTTCTCGAGGAACTCTTTTATTTTCGTTCCTTTTACCTTTTAGCTCATTCTTTGTTTTCGCACTATTTGGCCACTCACCCCTCCCCCCCCCCCCCCCCCCCGCACAGGAAAATCAATACCGCTCCTGAAGGGTCTACACCACCGCCCCCTAAAAAACGCCTTTGATTATCCTACTATAGGCATCCGTATAACCGGAAGACCTTGTTTGAAAGGGGGGGGGGGGAGTTTCTTCTGAAAAATGTCACAATTGAATTTTAAAAAACTAATTTCTTTAGACTTCTTGATGATGTTTTCAATGACGTAAGCCATTTTTCATTAAATTGTTTGGAGTATGATGCCACGTTTTTTATTCAGGATATAACGCATCATAATTCTGACTATACTGGTATGTTTTTCTCATCGGATAACAGGATAATTTAGACATGTCCCCTTACAACTTACGAACATGCCGAACTGTCGCCCGGAATCAATTTATTTAATTTGGAATTTCTGAGCAGACACGTCAATCGCATTCCCGGTTTCAATGTCACATACCACATTCTGTTAAATCCAATAAACTTTGTCATCAACCGCTCTGGAAAAAGAGAAAATTCAATTTATTTTGTGTATCCTTTTCAAAGAATATACGTACCAATCTCATGCAGCTTTTCGCCTCTTACGTTATTCGCGTGTATATAAGGACACGCTTAGCTTCGATTCTCATTTCTGTTCAACTTAAAGACAGCTGTGATATTTTCATTTTTGTCATTATTGAACTTATATTAATTTTGTTTCAGCTTAATTATCAGGAGTATTGGTGAAAGGTATCGACTGCAATATCACGAAGCTTGCCGACTATGGTTGAGAGGAAACATTTGAAATAACTTTTGTACGTTTCTATACGACTGATGGTGCTTTTCTTAACTTTGATCAGTAGTCCTGTAAATTACACTTTTTATTAATTCGTTTTTAAACGAGATAACGAGGCTTTCTCATGACTTGAAAGGAATTCGTGACAGACAAATTGTTTTTATAAAACGGGATTCATTTATACTAAAAAAATAAAAATGACGTCGGAGCCACTTACTCACTCGATGAAGTTGCAGTACTTCCTCCTTTTGGTCTTGATAACGATGATCCAACCTCTCCCCACCGGGAGCAGAGCCGTGGTCAACTGGCCACTCGTAGCCGGTGACTTGACATCGATGGATGTCGATGATCACCGTCGGTTGAGGAGTGCTCCTATGATTCCGATGTCGACGATAAGAGCGACTACGAGTAATGACGATGAGGAGACCAGGGATCCATGGCAAATCAATCAAAGTAAGAATCTTTCTTTATCAAATTTTAATGTCATGGAGTCTCTCCCCTCCCCCTCCAAATTAAAACAAATATAAATGAATGAATAAATAAATAAAATATCCAACAACGGTATTGCCAGAATTGCGAGTTCCCCTGAAATCATCAATTTTCCAGGCAGGCTCCTTATGCCACTTACATTTTCTTCGCTTCCCCACCCAGATGATTAAATTGATAAGTAAACGTCTTCATTGTTCTTCATGGTAATCTTTAGTTTTTCACACTTTGTTAGCAGATATTGCTGTCAATTTACGATGCCCTTGTACTTTTATTTATTATTTTTTTGTTTTTTTATAAAATATATTTGTAAAATATGGAAAGTGTATCGTCAATCCAGTTAATAAGCAACATGGAAATGCATGATCATAGTCGCTTGTGCAATAATACTCTCCTAATGACAAATTCTTGGCTTCGATGTAAATTCAATCAATTACGTATGATGATTGCCAATGCTGGCAGCCTGGCACGATGGACAATCCTACTTTCGCAAGGTTTGCCCCATGCAGAGATGTATGCGGAAGTTATTCGGATAAATAATTAACCTTTTCTTTTATTCAGGGGCGTATACGCCATGTAGGAGGGGGAGAAAGAGGAGGAGGAAGGGGAGGGGGGGGGGGGGGGGGGGGAGGTTGTACTACACCCAACCTGTAGTAATTTTTAATTGTCACTTTTCTGCTCATCGTTAATTATTATCAATTGGTTAATACAATTATGGAAACACAGTCAAAATAAGTTTATATATTCACATTCATTTGGCTTTTTGATTGCCTCATCAGCGCAATTAATAATAAGCATTTTCACTGATATAGGAGCAAATATAGGATGAATATGATATTTTTCAGGATAAAGCGTATACACATACATCATTCCGCCCCGTTATATGATATTGTTTATTTCTTGAATATAGGAATAATGCACGTGCAAACAAAACTAAATAAATGAAAATACTAGTATACGAGGAACATACACCCTGCAAAGACCCATTCTGGATTTCCCATCAAATGTGATCACCTGTTAAGAAGATTTTTTTTCCCCAACAATTACGTCATAGCTATAAAGGGTTTGGTTGTCAGTTGATTTTATTATGACTCATCATAAGCTCGCAACCCTAAGCTAGCTCATGTGCAAGGCTAAAGATGAGAGTCAAAACTCCCTTTGAGGTATGCAAAAAACGATGGTTTTATGAAGCTATCATTGACCGTATAGGGAATCCCCCCTTACCATACTATTATTTGTCTACGGTTTACCGCTTCCTCCCTTTCTAGCTATCTGTTCATTTCCTCCCCAAGACTGTGAACCTAAGATCTACTCTTCTAAATTTCTGACTTTGTGTATATATACTTGCTCGCCCTTTCTTTGAATTCTCTCTCTTTCTTTCTCTTCTCTTTCCCTATCTCATTCTCTCTATGTCTGTCGGTCTGTCTGTATGCCTCTCCCTTTATCCCTCTCTCCTTCTCTTTCTTTCTCTCTCCCTTTCTTTCTCTCTCCCTTTATCTCTCTCTCTCTCTCTCTCTCCTCTCAATATTTCCCTGCCTCCCTCCTTACCTGCTCGTTTCTGTTTCTCACCAAGGAATCTATATTACACTACATGTTTATTATTCCTATTGGATGTAATTTTTGATATCTCCTACTAAAATACAATAACCTGTTAGACCTATTTTTGCTGTATTGTAATGGTATTTTGATATTTTTTCTTCAGATTTATGCCCACCATCCCTTGCACATTTATGCAACATCCAGCATCGAACGCCAAACGGTGAAAGTGAGTTGAAATCAAATTCCAGTTGGCATGCAACGAGTCATGTTATTATTGGATTAATATCTGAGGCACTTAACAAAAGAAAGAGAAAGAGAGAGAGAGAGAGAGAGAGAGAGAGAGAGAGAGAGAGAAAATTAATAAAGAGAGAGAGAGAGAGAGAGAGAGAAGAAACAAAAAAGAAGAAAAAACGAAGTTGTATATCAGTTTAAAAGTAAACGTGCTCGATTATAATATTTGCTTTATTTAAGGAGACTAATTTACATTTTAAGAATATTCTCTTCCTGATTTTTAAAACAGCTCAAAGCTCTTTCGTGACACCGTTTTTCGAGGGCGACATTGTCCTGGACTGGGAACAGAGAAGAAACCTTGGGCTAGCCGGCATGCTTTCGAGGTCGTCACAATCTGGTTCTCGACATCGCCCACGGCGTGCTATCATCAAAGGTCGTGATCGTCGATGGCCAGACGCCATCATACCGTACACCATCGATTCAGATTTCAGTGAGTATATAATATGATGTTGGGGTATAAGGGCAACATTGGAGGGCGTTTGAGAACATGTGTGTATGTGTGTGTAAATGGGTTTTTACAGACGTATATCAATCTGATATGATTATTTACGTCTGGGGACCGACCTTAATTTAACGTCACCATCCGAAAGAGGGTGTGTGTGTGTGTATGTGGGGGGGGGGGTGTCAAAAACGGTTAGTCAGCAGCAAAATGGGATGAAGTGTAGGTTAATAGTCCATGTGCGTAGTAGCTTTTTCTTTTTAATTACATTTTTCACCAATCGTTCGGGGGAGGGGGCCTGTACCCCGCCCCTCCCGTATGTCGTGCAAGTGCTAGCTAATGATATAAATCGATATTATATCTGGACTGTACATAAAAAGACACGGGCCTATCGGAAATGATGGAAAATTGCGAAATATGAAGACTAGCTGAAGCCTTTAATAGTGGGTAATATTTAGCAATCAAATATGATTTTCATTCCCCATTTTTCATTTTGGATACGCCATTAAATATGCCCTAATACTGAAAAGCTTATGCATTTTTTTCTTTCTTTCTTAGATCATGAAGCTGTTAAGCTGATCAGATCTGCCCTAAAACACTGGCAGCAGAATACCTGTATCAGATTTGTCCACAAGGAATCATCTCATCAAGATTATTTGAGATTTGCTTACATTCCAGGGTGAGTAATAAGCCATTTGTTTTTACAACGTTGGAAATCAATGCTCTGTAATTTCTTGGTCAGTACGTGCAACAGTTTTTGTGCAGTATTGCTTAGGCTATTCTGTTCAGTTCAGTTTATAAATATCATCATTTCGCAGGCTCGGCTGAATTGCATGACAATTTACAATTATGTGTCGTTTGACGATTGCTTGATGACTGTTTTACCTGACTGCTAAGAAAGTATGTGTATGCTTGTCAGTTTAGCAACCAGGGGACCTACGGTTTTAAGTCCTCCCCATAGGATTTAGTAATGAGGCTAAGTGCCTTACCAAAGGGCACGAACGCATTGACTTGGTTTCGGACCCGGGACCTTCCGGTTGCGAGACCATTGCTCTACCACTGAACCATCACGCCTCCTCCATGGAGAACGATAGACAAGAAAGCATGGTAGTCTATTTATTTTTTAATTTTCATTATTTCCAGATGCTGGTCGTTTATTGGTCGACAAGGTGGAGAGCAGCTGCTATCAATGGGACCAGGTTGTAATGTATTCAACACCATCGTTCATGAACTCGGGCATGCTATCGGCTACTGGCATGAACAGGTAAACTACTATTTACCCTGTCCTTTCCTTTACCCCTGAATCATACACATTTTCCAATTTATATCCATTATACCCAATCACGTTCTTTTTGTCTGCATTTCCCGCCTTCACCATGAGCTTAATTATTGCTGCACTGTATATCCAAATCTTTCTTCTGTAAATGTACCATAGGCGTAAGATTGCTCCAGCCCTAAAGGGGGAACTAGAGTCATGGTAAGGAGGAGGGAGGGGGGAGGGTGGGGGGGGGGGGGGGTACCGGGCTTAATTTCTAGATGAATGAATGTGAGAGAACAAGATCATTGAGTTAGTATAATTATATGGTAAAGGGGGGTGCAAGAGGGGTCATATATCAAACTTTTCACGTTGCCCCGATCCCTGTCTCTCTTTCTAGAATTTTTCCTGGAATTTCGATGATCGACGGGGGGGGGGGGGGAGACACGTAGGCCTACTTCCGATATGGCCAAGTTGCTACCCCGCTGCATGTTCATGTCATCGAATATAATTATGCAAGAGGTTGTCTAACTCATTATTATTTTGTGTTTCTTTCTGCTGTAGTCTCGTCAAGATCGAGACCGGTACATTCAGGTGGTCCAGCGGAACATCGCCCAGGGTACCGAGGAAAACTTCAACAAGATCGCCATCGCCAACGTCACCTCGCAGGGTTTCCCCTACGACTTCGCCTCCATCATGCACTACTCCGCCAACGCCTTCAGCGTCAATGGCAAACCTACTATACGGATGAAGAAGAGGTACCGTGACCTCCTTCCCGAGGTCAGTGCAAGCCTTGGCCGACCTAGCAACGGGTTGAGCGAGCTGGATATCGCCCAGACAAGAGGGATGTATGAGTGCAATGTGAGAGCTGCCAAGAAACAGAAAAAAGGTGAGCGATTGTGTTTGTGTGTATGCGCAAATTTTACCCTTTTGGCAACTTAACTTCACTATTCCTTTATATTATTCCTTTATTCCTCTATCAATTGTTCATCGGTACTTTTTAAAACTTTCATTCACCTTATAATCATATATGTTACCAGTCCATTTTCTGTGACGACTCTGATTGCACATGCCTTTCTTGTTATTACATATGCAAATCAAGCGATCAACCTTCTCGTTTTTCCTCTCAAACTATTGTTACTTTATTTCAAAATGCATCGAATTGCCATGGCTGGTATTGTCATTCTCAAAAAGTATAATTACAAACTACTTCTTCCCATACTGTCTTTGTTTTTCTAGGTTTGTTTGATTTATGATAGTGATTTGCATGTTTGCTTCGTTTTCCGTTTTTTTTTTTTTTTTTTTGGGGGGGGGGGGGGGGGGGTTATCTCTTATGCTTACACTGCATACTAGTATTAATCAGGGTAATACATAGGCGCCTTGAAAAAGCCAAGCATTTTGGATTATATGTAACTATATCTTTGTTTATTCAGGGCCCTGTATCCAGAGCGAAAGTGGCGACGGAAGAGAATACCGCGGGGACATCGACTTCACCGAGACCGGTGTCACCTGTCAAAGATGGACGTCGAAATACCCACACGAACACGGCTTCCTATCGGAGGACGAAGCCAGCAACGAGGGGAGGGGTATCGGACATCATAATTTCTGCCGGAACCCTGGGGGTCAGAGATTGCGACCATGGTGTTTCACTACGCTCGAGAGGACAATCTGGGAGTACTGCGACATCAAAATTTGTCCAGCGTTGTAATACATGTACATGAACTGACATGGTACTTCATATTAAAATGTTAGAGAATTTGTTATTATTTTTTTCCAAAAAAAAAAAAAAATGTTCCTTGAGATGCGGTTTTCAGGCTCATAAGTTAATTAATATTTTTCATCTAAATGTTTTCTTTCCCAACTTTAGCTCTTAATGCCTTTTCATCTCTATTTCTCCATTCATCTCCTTAATTCTTTATTTCAGTCTCGCTCTCCCTCTCCCCTATGGCATTTGCTCTGTCATCCGTCTCTCTGCTTTATGAGATTGTTTGAGTTTATCTTCTCTCTAAATTTCTCCACTCTCGCTTTTTCTTTTACGATTCTCTCGTCTGCTTCTCTGTCTGTCTGTCACCGACTTTTTCTCTCTCCCTCTCTTCTCTCTCCACATTATGATACTTTCTCTGTTCCTTTTGCTTTTTGAAAATGTGATAATTGAAATAAATTTGTGCAAAAATAACGCATCCTTTCAGGCATGATACAGAAAATTATCCATCCACTCTGTTGTTGTATGATTGTCAAAAGTATAAATTTATTAAAAGTCTTAAATATCTTTAAACTTCATCAAGTATACTATTTATTTGCATTGATAATTTGAAATTAAACATCATTTTGTACATAGCAATATCTTGTCTTGTTAGTTCTACTTTATTTACATAGGAAAAAACTGCTACTACTATGGGATAAAACTATAAGAGAAGATAACAATTCTGATAAAGTTTTTGAGAAATGGACTTGACCAATCCTGCACCAGTCAACCCCCGGAACCATTATTGCTTTGATTTCATTTGATTTGTAGTTATAAGAACTGAATTGTGACTTCTTTTTTGCACAATAACTGATGCTTGAAAAAACAGACATACACAAAAGTAGTACACGTAAATAATAATACAATCCTTTTGAACTAATTTATAACTATTTTGGTAGTATAAATCTAAAAATATGAGTATCTTTGGTTGAATTATAAATTGCTATGAGTATAAGTATTCCTATCAAAACTATCAACATGTCTCAAGATAGAATTGAGAAGTAACTGTTCATTATATGCTTCCTGATTCATATTTCAAAAACCCCACAAAAACATCAGTATACCGGTAGAACAATTTCCATCAAAATTTGAGAATTTAACAAAAGTTAAAGGGTATGATAATAAGATTAGATAAGTATAACCTCAAAGGTATTTTACCATTTAATTTCTTTATCCATCATGGAAAAAAAGAACACATCAAAAATTGAGTGGCAAATGCTTATTGTACAGACAAAATGCTGCATGTAGACCTATACAGGCTTTATTGTTATACACATTCACAATATCAGGATGGCACTCTAATGAACTTCCTGTCCAATGAAAACATTGGTCAATACAAGGATTAAGCAATAAACTTGGCCAGGACATGCATTGTGTTGTTTTGTCTATAATTACTTCCTACATAACATGAAAGGCCTATTCAGTAAAGTGTACCCTTTCAATCATGGTCGTGAATCACGGGAAAGGCTACAATGTAATCCCACCCTCCCTCCGCTTTCAGACAGAAAGCAATAACACATTTAATAAACAAACAATAAAAAAGAAGGGCTTTTTAATGTTCAAACAAAACAAATCTATTAAGGAAGAAGGTCGTATAAGGGTTTGCCTGGCAGGAGATTTATGGAATAGCTTGTTATATGCCTGATGAAGAAAACTCAATTTATTTTACTATCTGAAATAAAGCTCTTCTTTAATCATGCATCTTTGGATAAAAAAGATCATCTGGGGTTTGGTGCATGTAGTAGACATTCACACAGACTTCATCAAATTCTGTGTAAGTTTCTCTACAGTCATCTTCAAATCTTTTTGACATCATCCATGATCCATAATTCCATCATATTCATCGAAACTACCATCCACAAGCAATCTCTTCTTCATAAAGCTTGCAGCAACACTCTTGCTTGAACAGCAAGACTCTGAAGTCCCGTTCCTGACCGAATCATGGTTTCCAGGTTTCCAATCTCTCTTCAGCAGGTCTGCTTCATTGACATAGATTCACAAACCCAAATTTAACCCATTGCCTACAAGATTCAGATGGCTTGTGTATTAATTCTAGCTGAATATGGAAAACCCAGTAGCAAACAGGTTAAAGGTCATTTGAGGTCAGTTATCATCACCTGGCCATGTTGACAGTCTTTTGGAGCTCCCGTAGAGATTGCTTGCCTTGGGTCAGCATCATTTTGATCACCATCTAAACAAAACAAAAAGAAAATATGATTAAAAGAAGAAGAATATCAGCAATATCAAGGAGCAGACTGACACCACTGACACTGCTAAAAAAAATATGCATTTGAACAAAAAGCACTTAGTCTACCCTGTACTTTTCATTTTCTTTTCAGGATTCTTCTTCTTTTCCTTCTTCCTCTTCCCCTTTTTCTTCTCATAGTCTTCAGATGGTTATGCAGTTCATGAAGAAGATGAACTAAAGATTGACAAAGGTGTGAGGAAGACAAATGAGGTTCAATCATTCATGGGATAAGGCCTACAAAAAAGAGATGTTGTATTGCCCTTTAGGTGCCAAAACATGGGTCGGTCGATCAGAAATCTTTTTTTTTTAAATAATTTTTTCTTTTCTTTTTCCTCCTGATATTTCTCAGTTTTGAATGCTTTAATATTCTTTCTCTCGAAAAAACAGTAAACCCAAGAAAACTTTTTTTAAATCTGATAGTAGATTTCAAGATTTTTGGGTCGGTCGCAAAGGGCAAAACAACATCTTTCTTTTTTAGGTCTAAGGGCATCACATGCCTCGGGACGGTCTGTGAATGTTCTCCGAACTTTCAGCATGCACTACATTTGCTGGTAGGCTTTACTGGTAGGGTAGTATTTTCAACAATGACAACAGAAAGGGTAAACTGACATTCCCTACAACCCAAGCAATAGTTATAGTTACCTCGTCTGTGTGATGTTGATTCCTGCGGAACTCTTCCTTTGCCCAAGCCTTGACCTCTTTCTTTTGTGCATCATCTGGCATTGCACGCAAAGCTCTGAACACATCTCGGTAAAGTGAAATCACCTGCTGACGTACCATAAACTACATAGAACAAAAAAGGAGGAGAAAAAAAGGTATAAAAGAATTTCGATATTTTATTAGATCTAGAGTCTAGAGTACCTAGACTATACAATATTCAATAAATGGTTAGAAAATACATCAATAGTAATACACTCATCCAACGTACTAGTGTATGACTCTGAGGTTATAACCTTATACTCCAAAACCATTACAGAAGCAGTGAATACCATACTTCATAAATTACCTAGCTCATAATTGACATTAGGCTAATGGGGGGGGGGGGGGCTATGAATTCAAGAGCATAATGAAATCAACGCAAACACTACAAGAAACAGTAGCTATGGGACTGAGGACAAGCGTTCGAGCAAAAATAAATACACAATAACTTAGAAAACACTATTCTGACAAGATTATTCATTAATCATAACGGTGCATGTAAATGTGACAATTCAAACTATAATAAGACTAATCATACTTAAATTTGATAAGATAAAATATAGAAGTTTACCTGTTTCAAACTCATCACTTTTGGTGGGATCCTGGAGGCTGCCATTTTGATTTGTTTACGTAACTTCTCAACGAGCTCTAGAGGGCGCGCGCGTTGATGGCTTTCTCTTCCTTTTCTCCCCCGATGCTGCATCGTGATAGGCAGGCATCACATGTATTTCCATTGGTCATATTTATGTTTATCTATTTATTTATGTGAATTGTGGATTTGTGTCTGTATCCATGCATGCCACCGACAAAATTTAAATAATAAATCTTGTAATATGGCCCAGTAAATCGAGATTATTACCTTCGAAAACCGACACTCCTCCGTCTCTCCCCCCCCCCCCCCCCCCCCCCTCTCTCTCTCTCTCTCTCTCTCTCTCTCTCTCTCTCTCTCTCTCTCTCTCTCTCTCTCTCTCAATCTCTCTCAATCTCTCTCTCTCTCTCTCTCTCTCTCTCTCTCTCTCTCTCTCTCCACCCTCCCCTCTTTCTCTCCACCCCTCCCTCTTTCAGTATGTATTGCTATCTCTTAATAGTCTCTCTCTCTCTCTGTGTCTCTCTGTCTCTCTCTCTGTTTGTCTGTCTCTATCTGTCTCTCTCCCTCACCTCGATCCCCTATTAATTTTCATTCCCTACCCTCCTCCCTATCTGTCTCCTTTTTTTCTCCTGCGTTTTCGTCTTATAGTTATCTTTTGTCGAATATAAAACAACAACAACAAAACACACGAGTCTAATATGCAATCTCAAAAATTCTTTCAAAAGATAATCTGTAAAGATATCTGTCTACTCTACGTATTATTTATTTGATTTTATAGCAGCAAAAGATATACAAGTTGAACATAGAACACACATATTATAATGCCTTATACTGTAATCAGGTCACAGGTTAAAACTTAAAGGTAAAGACCAGTTATGGTCATGCGATTGCATTGTGAAAGAAACGTTGTGGAATCGATCAGAAAGGGCTGATCATCTAGCATCTAGCATCTGCAAGGTTCTGGAATCATCAAAATGATAAGAAATTTGGCCCATTCTTCGTAAAGTTACAAGCACTATACACAGAAAGATGTATATGGGACTACCCTATATCTCTCACAGATCATGAGAGAAACAAATTTACCAAATATATGAATTAGTAGGCGGTTTCCCGGCAAATTTTTTATCATCATGTATTAGTCAAAACATATTCTTTCACATGATTGGTAATGAGAGCTTCAATTTCATTTTTTGAAATTGGGGCGTTTCCAATACTGGTCTTTACCTTTAAGCAGATAAATACTAATATTCTTCATTTGTATATCGTTTAATACATGCGAATACACTTGGTAGTATCAATATAAAGAGACAAATTCTATCATCAGAAAATACCTTACTTACTTTTAAAAAACGATAGTATTATGGTACATACTTCAATTCAAAACTTAATCTTAAATGAACTTACATTGTTTTCGTTAAAGAGAAATTTGTATTATACATGTAGGCACATTTGATATACGAGAGTCGCATCCGTGATTTTGTAAGGGGGAAGGAAGCAAAGCATTTACAATATGGAGTCATCTTTCGTCTTTCCTTCTTATCCGATATACTAAGTATTATAGTCTATCATAAGGCATGTGTCGATAGATCTCTCCTTAACATCATAAGGAAAAGACAACCTCAATTTATTGGGCATATTATGAGAAGAGAAGGCACAGAAAACAAGATAGTTACAGGACAAATTGAGGGAAAGAGAAACAAAGAGAGACAGAGCACTAACTAAATAGATAAGTTCATTGGGATGACTGGTAACAGAAGTAACGTCACGTTACAGAGAACCAGAGATAGAGTAGAGGGAAAGCCTTGATCGCCAATGTATGGAACAGGCAAGGCACCTAACAAGCAAGTCTTTCATTATTTTGACAGTACCAAACTTCGATCGATTAATGCATTTCATTCGGGGGGGGGGGGGGGGGCAATAAAAACAGAGGCCATAGAAAGTAAAAATGGTACTTGTTTTCTAAACATGCAATCTATATAATACAAAGTTTTTAGTTTATACATTTTAAACAACTTATTTTAAATATACGTGTGCTTATTTACATTTTAAACACTCAAATTATTTTCATTGCCATTTGTAAGAATGCAATATCTCATACACCCGCTATCGTTATTTTTTTCTTTCGATCTGCATGATTATACAATTTTATCTCTCTGTATAGCACTTTCCTAATAATTATCTTTACTGCTATAATCGTCTCCATTATGACGCAATCTTAAATCATTATTTGTCTGATAAATCTGTTTATATCATAACACATATATTATTTGGAGGCATCCCGTGTCATCTCGTCCTCGTGTTTCAGTTTCTTACGGCCCAGGAGGGCATCGATCTTTCTCTCCATTCGGTCGAAGCGATCGCGAATACTTCGGATCTCTTCGTCTCTCTTCGGGTGTTCGCCACCCGTTCGGCCGCTCGTCGTCGTCATCTTTCCATCAATAGATTCCAGTCGCTGCTTCATGCCGGTGTAAAATTCATCATTAGGAAGTCGCTCCTTGAATGTTCCTCCCTGCATTGGATAGGGTATTGAATTAGTTCAACATATAGTAATTATTACTCCGTCAATCTTATATTACTTTATCTATCTACTTGTTTATCTACCAATTCATATATCTATCAATCATCTCTCTTTCTCTCTCTCTCTCTCTCTCTCTTTCTCTCTCTTTCTCTCTCTCTCTCTCTCTATCCATCAATCTATTCAACCAGTGGCGTAGCCAGGTTCGTACACCTGGGGGGATGACTGCAGGGGCGAATCTAGCTTTTTGCTAAGGGGGGGAGGGTTGACCAAAATAATGACGATGCGGAGCATCGTCCACCAGCCGCGAAGCGGCGAGCCGATTTTTTTTTTTTTTTTTTTTTTTTGGGGGGGGGGGGGGGTGTTTATTTGAACCCCGTAAGTGATGTTTTCCTGGCATCTATTAACACAATGGAGACCATAAAAAGCAGTGCATGATAACGTCTTTTAAAATCAAGTAACAGTTAAATACACAGTTATATCCAGAGTTATCATGTGTTTGGTTAAGTTACCAGATGAGTTGAATATCTTCTCACAATATTTGCACTTGAAAGGGTTTTTCTCCAGCGTGCGTTCTTTTTTCTTTCTTTTCTTTTCTTTTTTTTTTCCCTTTTTTTTTGGTTTGTTTTTTTGGGCCGCCCAAGGGGGGGGGGGGGGGGTTAAACCCCCTAACCCCCGTAGATCCGCGCCTGTTTTAATCTTGTGGTTATCTTGTGGTTTCCAAACCACAAGATAACCACAAAATACTTGTAAGGTTTTCTTTTTTTTACCGTCTGAATTGGCTTTCACCGTGTGAACGCGGCTAATAACAATAAACACAATTACAATAATGATGAGGATTATTATTATCATCATCATAATTATTATTTTTATTAATATTATAATTGTTATCATTATTATTATTACTATTATTATCATCATTATGACTTATTAAGTAAGCAAATATCATTCCCCAAAACCTGGGGGGGGGGGGGATATGATTGTACATGCCATCCCCCCACCTTGTGAGGTGGGGGATGCATCCCCCTCATTCCCCCCCCCCCCACCCCCGTTGTCTACGCCCCTGTATTCAACTATCTTTCTATAAATCTATATCTTTATCTTTCTACCCACGCAGCCGTCTATCTTTCTATAAATCAACCTCTCCATTTAATAAATCAATATCATCTATCTATCTATCTAACTAGTATCTTTATCAATGTAAATATCGATCTATCTATCTATCTACCTAACTATCTATAATATCTATCTATATCTATCTACCTAATATCTATATATCTCTTTATTTTTGTCAATCTATCATCTATCGATCTACCTATCTATCTATCTGTCTATTTATCTATCTTTCTATCTATCTATCTATTTATCCATCTTTTCACCATCCAAACATTTCCCCTGTCTCTTACCTCTGAAGCTGTCCTCTCGCAGACCATGATCGCTTCTTTGATTACCCTCCTGTCTCCAGTGAGCACACTGCATCCTCGCCTCACCCTGGGGCAGCATCCGCTGTTAGGGAAGAACCGCTTCTTGGAGCGCATCACCTGCCTCCAGATGCAGACTGGAAGATACTGCTGCACCTCCATGATGGCCTCCACCTGTATCAATCAATGTACAAATATACAAAAGAAATGTGTGAAGTTATAGATAGACACATACATTGAGATTTTATACGGATGGATGATGAATACCGAATCAATGATTCCCCTTCAAACATGACTCATTATTCATCAATCATTTTATTTTTTCGCACAGCATAACAAAGGAAAAGTTTAAAATGACAAGATACAATAACATCAAATAATATAATTCAATAAATGATAATAATAATAATAATAATAGCTAGTTCTTATATAGCGCTTTTCAGGACCGAAGGCTCTCTCAAAGCGCTTTACAGATATATATATTATTACCCCGATTTTATTAGATAGATACATGTATGCTGCACAGCCAAAGCGGAAAAATGCCTTATATTAACAAGCTGACCCGGAAGTCATTCTCCCTGGTCTTGTTTTGTTCCGTGTCCACGTCCCTCTGATCAATTTTGCTTGTCTCTCTCATTCTCTTTTCATTTCCTTTTTCACTTTAAATTTATTCACCCTCTTTGTATACACGTCTATAACTGCAACTATTTTCCAGCAAAATAAATTACATGTATCATCAAAAAAAGCTGGAAATCTCTCTTTTTAATGACTGATGAGGGTTGACCACCACGAGCCCCTGAGTAATTTTTGACAATATAGAAGAATGTCATACCCGCATAGCAAGACGGTAAAACTTAGCCTTCCGTCTGATCTCATGTACGTCATACACAGCTAGACCAATCTGGAGGAGAAGAGATAAAGAGTTATCCAAATAAAATTTAAAAAAATGATAGAAAGAAAGGAAAATTGAAGTCATTACAATACTGTGTCATGAATATTACGATTTTGTATTGTATTATCTATCGGTGCATCAGTAAATTTATAACTAAGGATTCAATAGAGTTTAAGAATTAGCACTCAATATACGGGATTCAATATGCAGTTTTTAAGAAATAACACTGTGTTCTTTGTTATAATTTATAGTTAGATCACCTTTTCTTCTTGGGTTTGAATAAATGAACAACCCATATTGTGTTCATTAAATCCTAAAGTGTGTAATGAAATTCAAATATAATAATAATAATAATATGGTTATTTATATAGCGCCGGTATCCACCAGAGGTTCTGAAGCTCATGGCGCTTTACACATATTACCCTGTGTCAATCGAAATAGGGAGTATTCAATTATTAAATACCTTCAGTTTCGGTGACTAAGGATGTGTATATTAATAATTTTTAGTAAGATCAGGATCCGTCCTATATACATTGTAATATACTATGGTTGTTCTGTTTTCTTTACCAACACAAAATAATATCCTCATGCTCTTCAAAGAACACAAACTAATAGATTGACAACATCGACGGACATGACTGACACGGAGACAGCAAACATGAGTGATAACCTTTTGTGTTGTCCAACCCTACTAACATTAATTTTCGTTGATATTAGAATTCAGAAATACCGACCTCTTCTAACTTCAAAGACTACGTACCAACAGATTGACCACAATGATGGACATGACTGCAACGAAGACTGTGAACATGAGGTAGGTGATAGCCTTGTAGAAGACCGATGTCAGGAAGAAATCATCCTCGTCAACATCCAGCGTGTTCTCAGTACCTAGGTAGTCCTGGCTGTGGAAGATCCCAACGAAGTCGAAGTCACCCAGCATCATGGCCATGGTCTTTACCAGGGACAGTTCAATTCGGTTGAAGGGCGGCTGTAGGGAGTAGTAGGGTGACGTAGGTGAATAGTGTTGGTAACAATCGAAAGGGGAGGGGGTATGGAGAAAATGTACTTTCCTGATCAAGGATACACATATGTTTCTTTGGTAATGAATAGGATTACATTGGAAACCCGTCGATCAGGAAAGTCATTGTAATCGACTTGTTTTCTTCTTCAAACAAGGCAATTTTGCTGATCACAAATTTGTGTAATCTTCTGATTTATAACTGACAAAAATGATGTAAGGATTTTGTTAAAAGGAACACCTAGCAAAGTTCCGCTATTAATTTTCCGGTCGCGATTAGAATTTTCACAAGCTTGATATGATATATCTCGGATATTATTCGAGGTATTGTGGTCCAGCGGATACGAGATCATTTTGAGGCCTTCAATGCCGTCCTACAGCGAAATTGAAATGCGATTGCATAGGAAAGAAGCAGTCGGCACATTATTGGGATGTAAGTCTCCTAACTGTGAACCACAAGGTACGGGGTTCGAATCCCTGCCACAACACTAACATCCTTTGGCAAGACGTTATTCTACATTTGCCACACTTCACCCAGGTGAGTTACATGGGTACCTGGTAGGATGATTCCTTGAAATGCACTGTGCGCTGATAACGGCTGCCGGAGCGATGGTAATCATTTTCAACGCTTTTTGGAAGCGCATAGGGACGTTATATCATAATGTGTTATGCACCGTACAAGAACAGACTATTATCATTACCTGATTGACAAGCAGCATGTAGAAAGCGAGGGCGAAGGCCATGAGAAAACAGAACAAAACCAAGATGAATTTGAGGAAGCTTCGAAGAATATCTGAAATAGACCACGAAGGCAGAATGAAAGGGAGATTGAGTCAAAGACGTGAATGAGAGAGAGAGAGAGAGAGAGAGAGAGAGAGAGAGATCCGGAACACGAAAACAAGAGGAGAATGAGAAAAAAATACAGGGGGCAAAAGAATATAATAGCATGAACTTGACAACCATCTAGGGTGAAGTTATGAATATTAGACCTGTTTTCTCTTTCTGCAGTTAACTTAGAATTACACAATCAGGCGTATCATTATGGAAAAAATGTAAGTTTATATCTGTTCATCTCATAGGCCCTCTAATATCATTGAATTTGTTATCATTATAAGAGCCATCACTATATCTAAAATTGAGTATAATTCAACGTTGTCATGGTAACATAACTTACCCATGAACATGAGAACGTAGAGACCAAGGAAAGAGAATCGTCTGAGGAACATGATGAAGTTGATCCAGGCCAGACACACAGCTACTGAACCACATCGCCACTGCCATCCCTGTGCATGTATACAGATTCAATGAGAAACAACTATAAGACCTACCAGTGATCAGTTTTTTCAGATTTGACTGATTTTGGGTCATATCATACGGTGATGCTAGAAACCAAGGCATCGTTTCACAAAACCGTCATGAGTACAAGTTCATCGACATCCAATTGAAACGCGTATTAATTACAATACTTTTGTATGGCTGATTCGTGAAACGATACCCAATTATACCAAGTGTACATACAACACATGACAAACGAACCCTGAAACATAATTGCCGTAACCTATACTTTCCCATGAAAGATATTCTTCTTTCTTTGAAAATGTATGGCTAGAATTTAACGAATTTACATCGCCCACCTCTTTTAAAATGTTTTAGCCACCCTTGTACATAAATGCTAAAGTGATTCAAACTGAGCTCGATGAGAACCGAGGTAATGTTGGTCATCAAAGTAATGCATTAAATTTCCAATGATACTTCTATTATTTGTGTAATTTCTAAAGATTTTTTTTTCACGATTGATAACACTTTTGTTGACATTGGTTTAACAGCCTATCCAGGGGATGGATCTTACCATACGCAGCGAGATACTCGGTTGATATTCGGTCTGTCCAGCCAAAGGTATCACGAACAGTATAGATAGGAGGTACATGGAGCATTCCACAAGCTTTCGGAGCCGGAAATATGACAGCCTCTGCACCACCAAGAGGATTAGCTAGAAGGATGGAGAAAAAAAGCACGACAACAAAATAAAAGGTTATTATCATAGCGATATTTTCCTTACAACATACCTCATGCATTGATACTTACCGCAAACAGAGGGAGATAATAAATATATTTTTAACATTAGTTGAAGTAGAAGTTTCGGCAGTGCTTTGGAAATTATTACCCGACTGAAGCCTGGCTGCCCTGAACAGGTACAACGGTATCCAAGGAATTTCTTCCATCCGGTGCTCATTTTCTTTACTAGGGTATGGCAAAGATGTAGTTTAAATATGTCCTGGGACTCGAACCCCTAACCTTATAATTCGTACTCAGATGACTAGACCAGAACAGATTTATTTGCTGTTTTTATTTGTGTTTGATCACAATATTTATGTAATAGGCTGCAGGAGCTGCATACATTTATATAATATATAATAATAATGATAATTAAAATAATAAGATATTTCTATACCGCAAATTACATAGTGCCTCTAAGCTGTATAACAAATTATACCAAATTAAGACCCATTTTACCTCACAAACAAGATGTAAAACTGCAAGAATCAGTATAACCCAGTGACCGTTGACCGCAAAGAAATCCAGAGTGGCCTGCGGAATCCCCTTGATCCAACGCTGCTCGCCATCCCCGAACCACTCGATCTCCGTCTCGTTCGCCATCTTGGCATAGTATCGTGGTGCGACCGCGGTCACGTACCCCGTCAAGATAACCAGGAAGATGAAGTAGATGATGAGTGATGGCCAAAAGACGTAGCGACCGAGGGAAGACCACTTATGGTCGAGGAGGCTGATGACCAGGGGATGGGTCAGGAGGTCGACACGCTCCGATTTCACCTGCGATAAAAACGTTGATTGTTTTTCAAATATGAGCAATGATTATGACTGTCAAACTTTTAAAATAACAGGAAGAACACTTAATATTATCACTTTCATGCCTCACAAATGTCGCTTTATGAGAAAAGTCACTTATTCATTGATCATGCCAATTTGGGTGAAAACCGGCTGAGAGAACTGGGGGTTAGGAACTTTATTGTGATAACGCTGTTTTCGTCACACTTTTCATTGAAATAATTACATGTACGTCATTGCTCAATTTTTCCATCCGGTAGTAAGAAAAAACCGAAACAATTGGCAAGCCTTTTTTTCTACAACTGAAAAGAAACACAATCTCCCGCCCTTGAATATGTATTCAACGCAATTAGGAAGAAAGGATCGAATGCGTAAGAAAAGGTTGACTTGGGATTCGGCTTCACCTAATCAGAACAAAAATTAGCACAGTAACAAATGATTTTTATTTATTTATTTATTACTATCATTAACAAAAAATAGCAAAAGTAATAACTTTATATTATCAAACAAGCAAATATCAAGTGAAAGAACACTTTCTCTGAAAACAATATTGCATAATGTGTTGTCGATAGGGTAGATGCATAAGATGAAGTGAAAAGTGGTGGAGTTTACTCGTCAAAACACTACTTGCCTTCCGTCTTTGGGACTTACCATAGCGATCAGAGGATGATTTTTCACCATCCGCGCAGAGTTACTCGAATACGGTCTCATCTTCGATCTCAAATATCCGTCATCGTCGTACGCCGTCACATTCGACATCGGTTCGGGTTCCTCTTGTACCTCTTTGTAACTGGCGAGGGCCTCGGGTTTCTGAGATTCGACGTCGCCTTCGCCATGTTTGAATCCGCCGTTGAGCGTACCTTCGTCCTCGGGTTTGTTGGTGAACGAGGTCTCGTTCTCGTCAACCTGGTTCTCCTCATCAACGTGGTTTTCGTCGGTGATGTGATTATCATCGTCCTGTTGCGAATCGCTAGGTTGAGTTTCGTTCTCTTGCTGAGTTCCTTCTTCTTGTGGGGCGTCTTCGTTGATGGGCGTGGATTGTGTTTCAGTCAAGGCCGTTTCGTCCTCTGTACTATCATTGTTGTTGTTTGTGTTATTTTTATTTTCAACTACAGAGAGATGTTTGAGAAACGAGATAGATTTGTTATCTATATTTTTGCTCCCGTCTGTTATAATTTAACTTACTGATCACATCAATGAGCTATTAGTTCAGAGACATCGGTAGAGTATTTATTTCATAAATTAGCTTTTGGAATGGAGAATTTTCGGCTAAATAATCAGTAAAGTAATTTGATCTGACCCCCCCCCCCCTCTCCCACTTCAAAATGGCCAAGAAACACTCCTGGGCCAGACAATGATCGGTTGGGACCTGTTTGAGTCCACATTCTCTGATCCGCTGATTCGATTCCAAAAGCCATCTCTAACAGTATCGTCAGACAAAATACTGATATTGGGGAAGATAGGGAAAGGGATAAAGAGGGGATGTATTAAAGAAGAGATGGACGAAGAGGGGAGAAGGAGAGGGGGTCGTAGGATTAGAGAAGAATTCCTTGGCAATCTTCACTTACTGTGATTTTCCCAGAGGGAAAAGGAATCCTCTAAGAACTCGTAGTAAAATTCAATCCAGAATTCTTCGTCCTTGCGGTCCGCATACGGAGATATTTCAATGCACTTATCCATGACGGCTTGAGCCACGTCTATAAATTAAGGGGGATAAATAAAGAATCTCATCATTTGTAACATTCTTAACTAATCTACGCAATCAAAATGAATGCACTAAAATTTCGTTTCGATAATGCATTTTTAAAAAATTTGTTCCAGAAACGATACAACAGAGGTAGCCAACTCATCGAGAAGAAAAGTTTTCTAAATGTTCCGATACGATTTTTTTGGGGGGATTGGAGGTTACTTAATATCATGAATACTTAATGTTTTTTTAATAAGTATTGTAGGAGGAGGGACGCTATACACCAATATGCTACTACCAGTGTTGTAATGACTCGACTTGACTCGAGTCATCACGACCACAACTCTCAGCTGAACACGGGACTCGAGCTTTAGGACCACGATTATGAAACTAGCTTTCATCATGTAACCGTCATTATCACGTTTACACGTTATTTGAGGCAACATTAATTGTATTGCAATTTTCTTCTTCTTCTTATGGAAAATCTGCCTCCTTCAATACTGATGATTCTTGCCGATGTATATACTGTGGTGTGCAGGTGGACTACTACACGGGGGTTTCCCCCTACACTTGTACGAATAGTGCAGTGGGTTCTTAATGTGCAAGGGTGGTGACTCTCCTCTACACGGGACCTCCATTTAACCTTCCAACCGAGGGATATTAAATATCATTGATAGATATCGTAATTATGATTTCTCTTGGGGAAAAAAGCATGATAATGATGTGTGTTTCTGCTTACCGGGCATTTTCTCGATAAGTTTCTCCATAGGAGTCGATCGATCTTTGTGATATTCATCCCATGAGCTTGATGACATAATCTGTTTCCAGTCACGATGACTCAGCAGAAAATAGGCCACGTTCCTAATAGAAATAGACAAGAAATTGTTAATACATTAAAGAGGTTGGCAGAGATTATCGCTGATTAGTAATTCTGCTTCCCCAAAACGGTGAAGCGCCAATCATTACTGACTAGCATGTAAAACGCCCTTTAGGTGATTCTGACTATTTGAAAAAATCCCAAGATGGTGTACGCAAATAGAGGATTAAGCCAAGAATAAACTTCGGTTGGAGTCATTTTAGTTCAAATCAAAATCTTCCTCTTGAAATTGTACATCCGAGTGATTAAAAGTATGGATTACAAGAAAAGAGAGAAATGGTGCATATGTTTCCTGGCTGGTTAAATAAAGCAGGATTTTTACACCCAGTCGTTATGACACTTTGTGCATTTATGAAAATGTTTTAGTTATACTTTTGCGTGAAACGTTTGCTTATATTATCATCAATGTCGGAACACATCAGTGACAGAAAATAGGGATTGATTATCGTAGGGGCGTAGGGAAATAGATATATCGGGACACAGTGGTGCAAAAACCTACGGGTCTCTGAACATAAGGATGACGAAAAATGGGGGCTTCAGAACATAGGGGTGACGAATAACGGGGGTGACGAATAACGCGGTTGCCGAAAAATAAAGAGAATGACGAAAAGTAGGGGTGACGAGTAATATGAATGGTGAAACCAAGGGTCCTTGAAGAATAATTGGGATGATGTAAATAGGGGCCATTGAAACATAGGCAAATAAAACATGGGAGCGTCAACACAGAGGGTTATCGAAACATAGGGGTGTCGAAGAATATGGATGTCGAAACATAGTAATGTCGAAACAGAGTTATGTCGAAACATAGGGATGTCGAAACATATGGATGTACAAAATTAGGGGTGTTCGAAACATATGGATGTCTAAACATAGTAATGTCGAAATATAGGGATGTCGAAACATAGGGGTGTCGAAGCATTTGGATGTCGAAAAATATGGAATTCGAAACATAGGCATGTCGAAACATAGGGATGTCGAAACAGAGTTATGTCGAAACATGGGGGTGTCGAAACATATGGATGTCGAAACATAGGGTGTCGAAACATATGGATGTCTAAACATAGTAATGTCGAAACATATGGATTTCAAAACATAGGGATGTCGAAACATATTAACGTCGAAACATAGGGATGTCGAAACATAGGGATATCGAAACATAGGGATGTCGAAACAGAGTTATGTCGAAACATAGGGTGTCGAAACATATGGATGTCGAAACATAGGGTGTCGAAACATATGGATGTCGAAACATAGGGATGTCGAAACAGAGTTATGTCGAAACATAGGGTGTCGAAACATATGGATGTCGAAACATAGGGGTATCGACACATATGGATGTCGAAACAGGGGTGTCGAAACATACGGATGTCGATACATATGAATGTCGAAACAAAGAGGTGTACAGTTTAGAGTTGTCGGAACAAGGTTTTCTGACTTTAGGGTAGCAAATGATTCATGCAAATCAAACGTACTCATTTCCACAATCAGCGGCAAACTCCATGCAGTTTCGACCTTGATGATCACGGGTCAGCAGGTCGACGTCGTGTTCGGTCAGTTGTTTTACAGCATCGAGATGACCACCTATACACGCTAGGTGGAGCGGAGTGACCTGAATGGGGTGTATGAAAGAAAGAAAGAGAAAAGGGGCGGGATGAAGGGAGGAAGAGAGGGAGGAGTTAGAGAGAGAGAGAGAGAGAGAGAGAGAGAGAGAGAGAGAGAGAGAGAGAGAGACACACACACACACACAAAGAGACACAGAGACAGAGAGAGAGAGACAGAGAGAGACATAGAGAGAGAGAAAGAGAGAGAAGGAGAGAGAGAGAGAGAGAGAGAGGAAGAGACAGAGAGAGAGAGAGAGAGAGAGAAGCAGGAGATGACATTAAGATCTAAAATAATAGAAATGAAGTAAAGGTTAAATTATCTACAATGTCTTCATTAATGTTTTACATTTCGACTACAACAAAGCCAGGGTAATAAAATGATTGCATTTCTCACGAGGCTACCCCGGATAAACAAGTAATATTATTATTATTATCATCATTATTAGACCTATTATTAGCCTACTATATGTTATTATTATTGTTACTATTATTATACACGTATTTCACTTAAACACATAATAATATTTGTATTTGTCAATCAATCCATTTATCAATCAAACAATCAATTAGGAAAGAGATCAGTGTATCAGACTATTTGTTATTCTTGGATTCAGTCAAAATTCAAAATCAGTTTCGAGTTATTAAATTGATCACTTCTTAAATGTATTTGACGCTATATCTCAGCTTACCCCGTTTTTGTCTGGGAAGTTGATATCAGCCCCAGCCTTGACAAGCGATCGAACTGGCTTAGCAAAGCCGTTGGCGGCAGCAAAGTGAAGAGCTGTTCTTTCATCAGCCTTCTTGCTGGATCTAAAGGATATGAAAACACATCGTATGAGAGCTTTAATGAATTTCAGAATTTCTATGATGATGATATTTAAATAGTGTCACTCAAAAAGCTCAACATCAAAGGGTGATTCACGGAAAATGAGATGTGGGGAGAAGGAAGGAGGAAAAGAAAAACAAAGAGAGAAAGAGAGAGTGAGAGAGAGAGAGGGAGAGAGAGGAAGAGAGAGAGAGAGAGAGAGGGGGGACACAGGTAGATAGAGAGAGAGAGAGAGAGAGAGGGGTGGAAGAGAGAGGGGAAAAAGTGGAGAGGAGAGGAGAGAGAGTAAGAGAAGGAAGAGGAGTTAAAGAAGAAAACAAATAATGTTCTTATGAGAAAGTATAAAGAACGGGCACAATAAGTACTAAGGTGCCTAAATGGATAAGTCTTATTTTAGACCCAACCAGACGTTAACCATTTGGTTACAGCATGTAACAGCTTGCAAAACAATTTTTAATCCTGTTTTTCAAAAGATATGTCTAGAGTGAGAAAGTGAGGGTTATAGTCACCCGTTATTGTCTGTGACAATTTCGGCAGTCATCTCGTGATGGTACCCGGCTCCAACGGGGTCAATGGTTGTGGCATTGACCGATGCGTTGGCCTTGGTGAGCTCTTGGACCACGACATCGTGCCCGTGGGCAGCGGCGTGATGGAGTGGTGTCTTCCCGTCGTCATCGTAGAAATTGACGAACTCTGGTTTCCAGCGAATCAAAACTCCGACCGTCCTGGAGGTTTTTTAAAATAATTATCAGTATGATGAGATAGACAAATAAAAACAATTGTAATGATTGGAATAACATAACACAAAATAACTTTCATTTTTTCTGGCTATCGATGATTTTGTTTCTAAATGTTAAAGATTGTTATATTATTGGCAAAATGATGAACGATTCGGTTATGGTTACGATACTCGAGCATAAATTGTAAGAACTTCATCGACCTAGTTTAATGGCAAAAGGCAAAGTATGATATACCGTCAAATGTAGTAAACAATTTTGTTCTCTCAATCGGCTTTATAGGCTATTGGAATATAGAGTTGCACATTATTATTCTTACTCTGTATGACCGTTCTTTGCGGCGTGGCTCATGTACTTCTTGATGTCGTCATCACTGACGTCATTCAGCTTCGATCTGTACCTCAGGAAAAGCTGTTAAGAGGAACAGAGTGAAAAGGCGGATTCCAAAGTTATTTTCCTGTGTTGTCTATAAATATAACAAGTTGTTCATAATTTGAGTAGGAGATTATATTGAAACATTTTGTGCATATCCATTTTTGTTCAACTATCTTCTTGCCAATACAGGTTGGGCATAATTCAAATTTGGTTACATAACTGTGCACTAAATCTTGACACCTCTTCTTCTTCTTCTTCTTCTTTTTCTTCGTTGTCGTAGTCTTCTTATTCATGTGCTTCGTTTTCTTCTTCTTCTTCTTCTTCTTTTTTTTTCTTTTTCTAGTCTTGCATTCTACAATCTTGAAGTTTTTTTAGAGAGTTCAACCTAAATTCCGTTAAGTCCAATCTATGCAAAGAGATTTTCATTCATATTTACCTTCAAGACATTTGCTTTGTTCTCAGTAACCACCCAGTCCAGGAACTCAGCAATGGATTCATCTTTCTCTTCGCTTATCGGTTGAGCTTCCGGTTCAGGGATGGGCTCGACGTTGAAAGCGGCAAGGCTGGTCTTCTCATCAAAATTGTCCGGCCTAGTCGGCTCTTCAGGCTCATTCACGGGATCGACTTTACCCTCTTCGTCGAAATCACCAGCTAGACTTTCCTCGACATTCGTTCCCACCGAGTCCGCTTTCGTTGACTTGGTTTCATCGATCTCCTCCAAATTTTCATTGTTGTCGCCGTCGTTGGTGTGGTCAGTGACATCTGCCACCGAGCCTTCGTTTTCATTTTTGTTTAGTTCGTCTACTCGGTAATCATTCTCCGCATCGACCGCCGTTTCATTTTCTTCTTCCGCGATGGCATCGAGATCGTTCCCTTCAACGTACCCGATCGAAGATTTTCCACCTTCGCTGATGATTGTCGCGGTATCGTAGTTGTCTTTGATGGCCAGTGGAGTTTGGTTTTTGTTGTTATTATAATGGCGTTCTAGAAGAGCGATGATGACGTCAAAACTCTCGGCATTGGCTGCCACCTGGAGAGGAGTGAGGTCATCGACGTCGGTCTTTTCGAGATTGGCCTTCCTGACAACCCAACAAAGTTATGAATAAAATTAGTTTTGATTAAATGTAAGGAATTAATGTCATCGTTGTTTGTTATACTGTAGTATTTTTGAAGTAAAACTATGTTTTCTTTAGTTTTTTATTTCTCAAACAAGACCCATGTACGGCCAAAGATGGCGATGCGAAGCCTTAGTTTTCTGAGAATATTGCATTGTTGACTAAACAGTTAGCGATTTTAAATGATCTTAATCAATAATACTTCTATCTTGTCTCGAAGTATTTTAGTTACATTATGCTGTCAATGTAAAATTGAAGAAACTGCCAATAAAATTACTCTGGCTTTTATTCCTAGTCATGCGAAAGAAGACGATAGAAGACGATCTAAAATTAGATTTTAGATTTAAGACCATATCATTGAAAAGATAACTGTTATACATCGCTGAATACAATACACTATGATGAAGTTTCTTGGTAGTTCGCTTTAATATCTTTCCTATTAATAATGAATGTTTAATAGCAGTTCAAAAACTAAGTTAGAGTAAAATCCATCCTTCTTTATTCTTACTTTTCGACCAAGTATTCCACCACGGCCCTGTGGTTGCCAATACAAGCCAGATGCAATGGGGTTCGGAGATCCCAGTTTGTACTGTCGATCTTCGCACCTCTTTCGACCAGACGCTCGACTACGTCAACATGTCCGTTCGAAGAGGCGATGTGGAGAAGAGAATCGTCGTTCTCCCCGCGAAGATCCAGCACATTGTCGCGGTCATCGTGGACTCCATTATCGAGGATGTACTTCTCCGTCTCATCACGTTTTTCGGACTTAAGAGCTGGGAGCAAATGGCGAGAAATATGTGAATATCTGAATCGCATGTTTATTTCTAGCGATGAACAATAATGATAACATGAACGCTCCTATTAAGTTTAAAAAGTTAGGCCTAGATCCCATTGCGAAAGAAAATTACATTATTCAAAGGACTCAAGGGCAACATCATCCGAATCCATGAGAATTCGTAAATATTCTAACTGACATTAAATTCGTATATACTTTAGAGGTTTTCACGCTGTGTTTGCCAAAATAATACAAAATATCATGCATTCCTTACTCTTTAAGACGAGAATGTATACAGTACCATAAGAATGCCCAGACAAATTATTCAATGTCTATAATTTTGTTGGAGTGAAATTATATTTTCATAAATTTTTCTGTTAACCAACCTTCATCCAGACACTTCTTGACGAGATCTGTGTGGCCTACTCTGACTGCCTCATGGATGGGAGCCACCCAGTTCCAATTTGGCTCGGTCACCAACTAAAGAGAGAGAGAGAGAGAGAGCAGGGGAGGCGGAGATGGATGGGAGGGAGGGAGAGAGAGAGAGAGAGAGAGAGAGAGAGAGAGAGAGAGAAAGAGGGAGGGAGGGATGAAAAGAGACAGGGGAAGACAGCAAGGGGGAAATATCAAGGGGAAGAGTACAGAGAGAGAGAGAGAGAGAGAGAGAGAAAGAGAAAGAGAACGAAATGAGGATATGGCAAGGTAGTGCGAGACAAGAGAGGGAGTGACAGAGGAAGGAATTGTTAGACAGCTAGAAACACTGATATATCGCTGGGTATTTAGATAAATAACCTAAAAAAGAAAAGAAAAAAGGTGGTAAGAAATACAGTTAGAGACAGGTGATGTACATGAACAAATGAAAATAAATATTCCCAACGCTTTAAAAAAAGAATTGTTTACATATTTTTTATACGGGAAATGTATGACAACTTCACACAACAAAGGTCCAATGTGTATTTACTGATCATTGTGTTATAAAATACAGAAATGTGAATCGTATTAAACTTTACGTCATCATTTTAAAAAAAAACATCGGTGTACCGCTCAATATCTGATCGAGGCTTCAGTCTTACCTCTTTCAGATGCCCTTTAGCCCTGGCCCTATCAACGATCCTCTCCGCAATTGTTCTGTTTCCCTTCCTGAATGCGATGTGGAGTGGCGTGTCAAAATTCTCGTCCCAAACGGTAAGGTCAGCGTTGTTTTTGATGAGCTTGAGGGCGATTTCGGTCAGGTTGTTCTCACAAGCCACGATCAGGGGCGTGCGATGTCGACGGTCTTCGACCTGAGGTTATCGGTCAAGGATTGACAAAAAATAAAAATATTTACTCCATCGTTACCGTGATATGAACGAGGCTTTGACCCACAAAATGGTAATGCAGTAAATTGAAACCAACTTGAGTTGTTCCTTCACAATTTGGATTAATTCATCAGCTCATGTCAGTTTAATAACAAGTTATTACATTTTAAACGATTCAAAATGCATCAGCTGGGTAAAACCTACCGTCGCTAGTTCTGGGTTCAATATTGTAATTATTTATTATCTTAATCTTAAACTTAACCTAGGTATAACTATGATTCTTACATTGATGTCAATGTCTTTCCTGGATAGAAGATCTCTAACGCCATCTACGTTGCTGTCGAGTACAGCTACATGAAGCGGAGTGAGGCCTTGGGAGTTCTTAGCGTTGGTGTCAGATCGTTTCTTTCTGAACGGAGGATTCAATTTGGGCTTCGCATTCTATGAGAAATAGAAGATGAATAACATTGAGTAACATGGGGAGAGACATAGGTAGATGGGAAAAGAGGAGGAGGAGGGGGAGAAAGAGAGATTGAGATGTGGTACAGTCGTAGGGGAGGCAGAGAAACAAAATGAAAAAGAGATAGAAATATAGAGAAAGAGACAAACATAATGAGAAAGGAGGAGGAAGAGACTTCGAAAATAGAAGTGGTGGTGGTGGTGGTAGTAGTAGTAGAAGTTGTAGTCGTAGTACTATTAGTAGGAGCAACAGGAGCAGGAGCAACAGGAACAGGAGCAAGAGAAGGAGGAGCAGCAGGATGATTAAGAACAATAGCAGGAGAAGAAGGTGCAAGAACAAAAGGAGCAGCAGGAGCAACAGGAGCAGGAGCAAGAGGAAGAGGAGCAGTGTGGTGAGCAAGAACATTAACATGAGCAGGAGGAAGAACAGGAGCAAGATGAAGAGGAGCAACAACATGAGAGAGAACACTAGCAGGAGCAGAAGCAGCAAGAACAATATCAGGAGCAGAAGGAGAAGGAGTCGTAGGAGCAGGAGCAAGTATAGGAGGAGCAAGAACACTGACATGAGCAGGAGGAACAAGAGAAGGAGGAGTAGCGGGAGCACAAGGAGCAGGGGGAAGCAGGAGGAGGAACATGAGCAAATAAACAATATACAAATAGTTACAAATAATACACATTTCCACTCTATGATAAAAGAACAAAACCCGAAGAATTCGTCAATGCTTCCACGATCGCACACCGCATTCCTCCATAATTATTCTATGGCATAAACACAAAACGCACAAATGACATTTACCAGTTACTATACTTATTGTCAACCAAATGTATGATTCTTGTTGTCGTAGTAGAAGAAGTGCCAGGTCGGACGGAAATTACCAATTTTGGAACCTTTTTTGTCCGTATAAAACAATAAAACATTCAGTATTTAAGGTTTGGATATAAAATTAAGCTGACATAATTCATATGCTCCCTCTTTTGTGGAAGTGCTTGTTTGTTAGAATAGTTGTTGTGTTCAAAGTTCGAGCTCCTGTCCTACGCAATTTACCATGTATTGTACTCGATATTTCAAAAGAGTGTCTTTGGGTCTTTTTTTCCTTTCGGACATGACATGAATAATCGCTCCCACAATCCTGCTTTGTGTCTTTCACAGGCTATTAATTCCATGGAATTTCAGCCATAGTGGTTTTATAATCTGCTGAATGCTGTCAAATAACTTACTGCTAGTTTTGTTGTTGCTACCCTTCGATGTTTTTTCAGCTTTTTATCAAATTCAATAGTTTTCTTTGTTTAAAAATTAGTGTTGATATAATTATACAATAGTATTGATATTTTGTTAAACTAAGCCATGAAAGTATTTCGTATAAACACGAACGAACTACTTTCGCATGTTGAGTATTACCGTATTTGTATGCTATATTATCGGTTGAAAAAAAGAAATAAAATAATATATCAGCAGAATCAGTAAAAAAAAAAAAAAAAAAAGTGATATTTATGTGAATATAGAGTTGAAAATATGAAAATAGCCTATAAGAATCCTAAATTTGCATCATATCAGATTTAATGTAGTTACCATGGCAAATTCTACTATACTTTTAAAATAATGCATTTGTATATGCTTGTTTCAGTTGATGATTTATTTCCTCTCTCCCTTCTTTTAAATATTAAGCCATGCATTTCGAAACCGTCCTTACATTATCTTGTCAACACCTTCATCTATACATATTGTGACAAATCCTTTCCAAACGAAATCAAAGAACACCCCAGAAATAAGAATTTACACATTGTAATTAATCCAGTCATTTCTCATAAGAATATATTTCTTCTCGTGTAAACTGTGTACAATGTCTTATGACGTAACTCAGTTAAATATCTTCACTAAGCAACCGCATAGTTCTTCCTATTAGGATGTCGTGGCCTCAATACATACCCTGTCTAGTTAGGACATCCTTTGAATTAAAGGCAATGCCAGATTATTGTCACAAATTACGTAACATGATCTGCCTGTCTGTCTGTCTCTCTCTCTCTCTCTCTCTCCCTCTCTCTCTCCCTCTTTCTCTGTTTCTGCTTGTCTGTCTCTTAATCTCTCTCAACCTCTCAACCTCTCAACCTCTCTTTCTTTCTCTTCGCTTCTTTCTCCACTTCCACCTCTTACCCCCTCTCTCTCTCACATCCTCTCCCCTTTCCCCCTCTTTCTCTCTCTCTCTCTCTCTCTCTCTCTCTCTCTCACACCCTCTCTCTCTCTCTCTCTCTCTCTCTCTCTCTCTCTCTCTCTCTCTTTCTCTCTCTCTCTCTACCTTGCCATCTCACTCTCACGCATACAATATAATGTCATAGCCTTGTGAACTAACGAATAAATTGACTGATGGCACTGAAACAAATGTGACGATTTGTTTGTTCACAAATACTCAATACTGAAGTAACAAATGCAAAGATTAGTTATCAAAAAAGGGAACATATCTAATTTGTATGATTATCTTCCTTTGAGAAAAGCAATTGTATTGAACAGGACGTAATCAATTTTGCTGTAATGTTGGTCAAAATCTGGTGCTCTTCATCCCTTCGAACATTCAAGACATATGTACTTTAGTTCAAATGTTCTTTTAGCCTGCGTTGTCTTTGTCCTTAGGCAATGCAATTTCCTTGACTTCTGACTTTTGTTTGTTTACGGTTTATTGGTGTTCGCAATCAACGTGATCATACTACAAGACTCAACCCTGATCTTAATTCTCTCATTAAAACAATTATATTTATACATGTATATGTAAATTTTAATTATATGAATTATATTTAAAATCGCTTTATTTAGATACAAGGGGGGGGGGGTGCCTGAGTGAAGTAGAAAGGAATGCCTAAAATATTAGTTGAATTGATTTGTATACAATAAGCTGGTGTTGGTAAACAATAACAATAAATTCATTCCAAACCGTCAATGGTGTTGTTTATATAGATACTAGTGTACACGGTTAACCATTCGAAACTGTTTATCAATTTATTAAATTTGTTGGTGTAATTTATTTATCTAATATGCAAGCTAGTTGAGAGTTTCAATTGGATGATTTTGTTTTGAACCAGTGTCATGCTATGTGAACTTGTGTTTATGGATACTGTTTTATAAATCTTATCTTAGCAAACGCATTCGACCAAAATGTGTGGGATATAAAGGTATTATCATTAGTATAAAACACCTGGCGACTTTGATTAAGCATCAACTATTTGTACAAAAGCTTACTAACAAAATTCAAATTTTAGTTCTTCGAAGAAGAAAGTTATTTAATATTATGAAGACGAGAAAGATATATTCATTCTATATCTAGTATGTATAACATTTTTTTAAAACTAAAAGGCAGTCACTTCAACATTTGTTTGTTTGAACAACATATAAAACACCGTCTTATAAGGAGTTGATTTATATAAACTCCTTATAAGACGGGGCCAAGGTGTTTTATATTACTTGTTGTTAACGTGTAAGCCCTCCATAGGCTTTTGTATTGAGTCAAACAAAAGAAATTACAATTCAATGAAATTAAATCTTTCTTTAACTCAAATAAAACAGCATACTTTCACATTTCTCTCCTTGTTGTTCAAACAAATCAATCGCAAGTCCTGTAATCAATGGCAAGTTTGCAGTCTCCTATCTCGTATGTACATACGAGATAGGAGACTGCAAACTGCGATTGATTTGGATCAATCGCAACTCTTTATAAGACGGGATCCGGTTAGTAGATTTTCCTCTGCAAATTAACGTGCGACGGGTAATTTTTCAATATTTTCCCACCAGTGTTTGTATAAAATGGCTACAGCCAGAAGACTGACAATGTTGATCGAACGAATCTTCTGAAAAGTTGTAAGAAACCCCCGAGACAGACGGCCCACCAGACTGTCATTGTCGGTCTATCGGGCTATCGGTCTATCGGGATGTCCCGTTCGAAACTCACTCGAAATGCAAATATTAAACTAGTCAAATTCAAAGTAAAAGATGATTTAGAAGGCCAATCTCATTATGATTTTCTTTCTTTCGGTCGTAATTAAGAAGCTGAACCTCCGTGGACTTTTTTAAAATTATGATTATAATAAAAATATATTTCGGATATTAAAAATGAACCACAGGTGTCTGATCTGTCTCTATAATATACTGGTTCCCAGGTTGGAATAGGATTACTGTAAAAAAATAAAAAATAATGAGATTAGTTTCTGTCTGGTAGTTCTTCTTCTAAATCTGCTTCCTTGAGTAGACGTCAATGTATTATATAATGACGGATAGGGGTATGAGGCTGAAGTATATGGATCCCCCTCCCTCCCATCGAGTATAAATTTGTTTTACTATAATGGATCCCCCTCCCTCCCATCGAGTATAAATTTGTTTTACTATAATGATTCCGTTGTTTCGTCGTTTTGAAAACCTGTCATATCAAATCTTTCCCGAAATGAAGATCAATGTCATCTGATAAAGTAACTATCTAGACCTTTTGCACGCGCCTAGATAGCTTTCTGCAATCATTTAGAATCAAGCGTTTCTATGGCAATAACATTTCTGCAGGAGTGTTTTCTCCCGGGCATACTTTAGTCTGACATTCCGGTGACATTTTCTCTTTGTTAGGCACACAATCTCGTCTACCACATGGAAGAGGGCACACTAGGCAGACAAAGAAGAACACGATACTCGCTTCGCCCATGGGGGTCTGAACGCCTGACCCTCGCATCAGGGGTAACTGTTTAGTGATACTAAAACGGGACGCATGGTAGCCTTACACTTCAGGAAAATTAGTGATTATTATATTAGGGGCACTTATTTTGGGGGTGTCCCGTCATTTATTCTGAAATTAAGTGTGTTCTGTGGTCAGGTGCGGGAGCGGTAAAATAAATGTGTGCCCCCTTAAATTCCGTCGATGGGTCGACGCCCATGTGTGATGTAACCCTCAGACAAATATTGATACACATATAGGTCTAATTGAAATCGCCTCATAAGCCTACATGTACCTTGTTTTGAAGTATCAACTACCATTTATTTATAACTCCAGCCCCCCCCCCAATATTCGTTTATTACATTTACAATGGCGTAGCTTCAATCAACTCATTCAGAAGGGGGAGGGGGCAGTCCCGCATCTTATTCTAGTGATAGAAATTTGAGGATATATAGTTGCGAGAAGGGCCTAGTTCCCTGCACTGACATTCGCCATTGTTGTGGATTAAAAGTTTGTACAAGACCCCCCTCCTCATCGTTTGGATCTCTATTTAATCACAAAGTTAGTGGAACCACTGCCATAATATAAAATACACCAGACTTTTTTTGTCTGGCAAACTGTCACAAAATCAGCTTTTTCTTGGGCTCTAAACATGTAATAGTGGAAAGCATCACTACTACTTGGAACATCTGACTCCTCGCTTTTAAGTTAAAACCGTAGACAATAACATTGATCATAATATCTCGACAAGATAGTTCATGGAGATTCACAAAGCCTGCAGCGAGTAGTATGTGAGATGAAACATACATTATACGGGATATCATCCCCCCCCCCCTCTTGAAAAAAAAATCATGTAAAAACACGTGATTTTTACCCTGGCGCTCAAGGGGGGGGGGCAAATTTTGAAATTTTCGGCCGGCACGATTTTCAAATTTTCGGAGGAAAAAAAAAAAGAAAGTTGGGCCCCCTCCCCTAAGAAATCCTGGATCCGCGCCTGGATACACATACATCTCGGGGACAAGCCCTGTAGCCTAGCTATTTGAGATCATAAGAGAGAGTGTGTGAGAGGGAGAGCGAGAGAGAGAGAGAGAGAGAGAGAGAGAGAGGGAGAAGCAAAGTAAGAGGGTAAAGCAACGTGAACAGATGATTATCGCCTCCCAGAGTCACCCTTCTCCCGATGGCCCTTTTTTCGCTTTTCATCAACGTTGCAAGACCGATGCCAACCCGTCATCCATGACATCAGTGCCCCCCCTCCCCCTCACAAGCTGGCCTACACTACGCCAATGATTTATATTTACAACAGAAAAACTTTCTCACCTGAACCTTTTCTCGGAGTGAGATCCTTTTCTTCCTCGGTCTATCATCCTCACTTGACGATGATGCCAGGGACGATATGGACCTCGATTTCGATTTCCTCTTGGGCATGATCCTCGAGATCATTTTCTTCGCCTTCGCCGACGACGACGACATGGTCGTATTCTCTGTTCAAGCCTTCAGAATAGAAGATAGTGTGCTTCTTGCAAGCAGGTTGTCGAGAACTTGAAATTTGATGAAAAGTTCTTGCTTAGCGTCGTGACTGGTTAAACCATAACAAAGCGACAGAAACTACAATGTGAAGAAAGTTCTTGCTCCAAAGTGAGAGGGCGGAAATGAAAATATGAAGGAAAGATTTGCCTGAACCAGAGAGAGTGGCAGAAACTCAGCGAAACCTAATTGTGAAGATAAGTCATGGATCGGCTAAACCAAAATAGAGCGATAGAAACTGAAGATTGAAGAAAAGTTCTTGCTTCAGCATCACAACCACAGTAGAGCGACAGCAACTCCTAATGGAGGCTCCTCCTGTTCCACGAACTCCGTAAATTTGTTGTTCTTGACGCAGACGTGGAGAGTACGACTTCACCGCGAGAAAGTTGCCATGCCAATAATCCGCTCAAGAACAAGAGGCTCTGATTTAAGTTGTAAGTTCTCTATTTTTGGCAGCTTTCAGGGCTCAAACCCAAAGTTCGACTTTCAATTTCAGTTCAAGCCATCTAGGTAATGAGGTCAAGCTTGGTTAGCCAATCCTATCCATCCCTTCACCTAAATCAGCTTGTTGATTTCACCTCCGCATCATTGATCACGGAGTGGGGGCGAACGGCTTTGGACGGGAAATATGCGACATTGTTTTGTTCGTATTTGTTTATTAGATTTATTTTATTGAGACATCATCCATATTTTGTAGTAAATAAAAAACAAGAATTTTCAGGACTAGTAAAACGCAAAAGAGTTTGAAATATTTGTTTTCTTTCTCAGGCAACCAGAAAAAAAGATAACTTGTATTATACAAAATCGCATCTCAAGGTCAATAATGATCGACCTTGAGATGCGACTTTGTTTTTGTTGTTGTTGTTATATACACGTGCCCCTCTCTTTGTTTAAATAAGTCATAATTTTTGTTAGGGGACATCAACACATTCCTTTGAAATAAAAGCATGTCAATTATGAATAATATCACGACCTGGGCCCCGTTGCACAACACTTACCATTGATGGTAGCTTTGCCATCAATGGTTACTCCCATGAAAACCTTGATTTTGATTGGCTGATGAGCTCTGTTACCATGGTAGTTGCCATTGATGGCAAAGTTACCATCAATGGTAAGTTTTATGCAACGGGGCCCAGAACTTTGCTACTGCTAATCACTCACACTCCTCAGACTCAAGCCCTGGCAATGTACATGTCTATGAATGCGAGATAACATTAATTTATATCTTTAGATTAATCTTTTGTTTTATCGAAAAGTACAATTGGAATGTATTGTTGGCATACCTTAACACCTCAAAGTCACTTTCAACCAATTCATCAATTTATTCAGAGCTACATGTTTTTGTCAACCGTATGATACTACATGTATTATTATTGTTGTTTTTTTCCCCCAACACAAAGCATTTCATTTCATCGCTCGAAAAAATGACAAAGCAAACACAAAAACATTCCATGATTTATATGTATTGTATGGTATTATATTTATTAAACGTCATTGATGTACATCAATATTCTGTTTATAAACATATAAATCAATTTACAATGTAATGTAACAAAATCAATTTCTGTTTAAAATCAAATTGTTGGTCACATGTCCTGTAATTTACTTCTGATGGAACACTTTATCGTTTAATCTATATGGGGCAAGTTTAGTTAGGCCCATTTTGCAGATTTTAATTGAATATGAAGCAAATTTACACACCAAAATAAATATTCCACTTTGTATATTCAACATGGGTAATCTGTAGCAGTGATATACTAACTTATCAATGTCATTATGGGAAACGAAAGAGGGAGAGTGAGGGGGATGAGGGGGAGAAGGGGAGAGGTAGGGAGAGAGAGAGAGAGGGGGAGAGAGAGAAAGAGAGAGAGAGGGGGTGACAGGGGGTGGGGATGAAAGGGGCGTGTGGGAGTTGCGAGCGGTTGGAAGAATTAGCAAAGAAGGTTGTGCACGAAAAGATTCCACTGTGTTATGTCCTGCCGCTATTGTTCTCTACTCCGTCATCGTCGTCCCCATCATCGTCGTTGTTGATGATGACTGTGACTTTCCTTCCTGGATTAAGGGGGGGGGGCTCTACTTGCGTCAAACTTGGCCAGTCACGTTCTGTGCTATATCTGAATTGGCCAGAGCGAAATCACAATCGCATTCTCAACATTCTTTGTGTCACTGTATCAAAGGTTTTTTTAGGTTAATCATCATGATATACAACAAAGGAGATTTAAACGTGGGCTCATTTTAATCGGACGTTACGCCATAAGAGCTCTTACGTCATACCCTTTCTCTTGATCAATAAATACATTTTAAAATGAGGTATCATGGAGTATCATGGAGCTTTAAACGAAGCTTAATGCGATCTCACGCAAAGGGTATTGAAGCCGAAACACCTTCACCATGGTTACCAACCGAAATATAATAATAATGATAATATTAACAATAATGGCCCGAATTCACAAAGCAAGGTTTGAGCTCAGACCAAGGTTTGACCTCAAACCTCCTTTTGTTCCGCCAAACCTCCTTTTGTTACCTTTGTAAATAACAAAAGGAGGTTTGGCGAAACAAAAGGAGGTTTGAGGTCAAACCTTGGTCTGAGCTCAAACCTTGCTTTGTGAATTCGGGCCCATATGTCTGGGGACCCAGGGTAGCCTCATCATGCAGCTTTAATACTGTTCTTCCCGAGAGCCCTGCAACCATATTGTTAGAATTCAAGGGTTGATGTTGATTAAAGAGGAACAATTTGTATATCATGGTTATAGCGACTGGAGCTAACATAATTGTCAGGATTATCTGAAACTGAGTAACTTACTTTGTCATGCTACCTGATTCTAATGCGTCCATGTATTGTATTTACTCCCTTTACTTATGAGAACATTGTAATTCAATTTTTATTTCAAGTCGTCTCGTTTTCAGGGGGAGCAATTCGCAATGTCGGAAATTATTATGTATGACTAATTTAATTAGCTTATGGTTTTATACGGATGCTGTGACACTCCACTTTGATTAATACCAAATTCCGTTCTGTTAACTGGAAGGCCTCATTAGGCATGCTATTTTCATCATTATCTTTCGATTTCTGTAAACTGTGCCATCACCATGGGCACAGTCGTCCAACTTAATGAAAATAATAACATAATAACACGCCTTTTTTGTATAGCACCTATCGCATTATGATATAACGTCTCAATTTCCAAAGGACTGTATATATTTGATTGCCCCAGCTTTAGCCCCGGCAACTGTAGGGCTCGGTGCTCTCAAGGACTGAAATCTTCCAGGTTGCTAATTAGTACACCTGTCTTGTTTGTGCGGCAAATGTAGATTAGAAATAGTGGTGGTTATTTTAACCGACAGCTAAGAAAGCAATAAATGCTTGTTAGTAAGCAACCAAAAGACCGACGGCTTAAGGTCCTCTCCGAGGGACCTGGTAATGAGGATTAATGCCTTACCAAAGGGCACTAGCGCATCGACTTGGTTTCGAACCCGGGTCACCGATTAACGAGACCACTGCTCTTCCGACTGACCTATCTTGCCAAAGGACGTTCATGCTGCGGCAGGGATTCGAACCCCTTACCTTGTGGATCACAACCCGGAAACGTATCCACTGGACCACCACACCTCTAGTTCTCTACACTTAATGGTGAAACAAATATTAGCTTGCGATAATCTGAAATTCCGATTTATAAAACCTTGACATAGATCTTCTAGACATAGGCCTATACATGTTTCTTTGTGCGATTTCTTGCGGGTAACACCTATAAATTAATGAATCGTGTAAATTGTTTGTAAATAATCGATTAGTGCAAATGGAATGCAAGGCAGAGGGAAGGTGATTATATTAATTAATACACCTCCCGTTCTCTGCACTTAATGGTGAAACAAATATTAGCTTACGATAATCTGAAATTCCGATTTATAAATCCTTGACATAGATCTTCGTGACATACATGATTGTTTGTTATTTTAATTGTTGCGGGTAACACCTATAATTAATGAATTGTGTAAATTGTTTGTAAATAATCGATTAGCGAAAATGGAATGCAAGGTCGTGAGAAGGTGATTCTGTTAATTAATTCATCAAAATCAATTGCCTAAATATTCGAACTGGTTGGTTGAGCCAGCGTAGGCCCGAAGCGAAGGCCCCTTCTACGTTTGCGCTCATCAAGTCTGTCATTAGTATTTTACCCCACAGGCCAGTATTCCCAACGCAATATTTGTAAGTGTGTACGATGTCATTCTAAAATGGCGCTTCAGCAAAAGTCGCTGCAAGTCAGCAAATGACACCCCCGATGCATCGGGATTCGGTTACCTCCCCTGCCCAAATTTATTTGATCAACTAATACAATTTCTATGTGTCTTTTATACTGTATTTTTTCATTTAATTTCATTATCATCTTGATCTACATTTTCTGCAAAATCATTAATTTTGAGGGGTACAGACTCAATATTGTAAGCAAATAATTTCTCTGCTGCATATAAAATGAAACTGTTGAAACAATTTTAGTTTTAAATGTCTAACTTTTGATAGAAAAAAATACCAGATGAGGGAGAAAATACAGAGGTAAACAATTGCTACTCTCGTCCCAAGTGTTAAATGGGTACCCGGTAGAATGCGACCGTCACAGTTTTTGAGCGTCATGTAACGCCTGGGGACGGAACGAAACAAATGCCATGGTTACCAACCGAAATATAATAATAATGATAATATTAACAATAATGGCCCGAATTCACAAAGCAAGGTTTGAGCTCAGACCAAGGTTTGACCTCAAACCTCCTTTTGTTCCGCCAAACCTCCTTTTGTTACCTTTGTAAATAACAAAAGGAGGTTTGGCGAAACAAAAGGAGGTTTGAGGTCAAACCTTGGTCTGAGCTCAAACCTTGCTTTGTGAATTCGGGCCCATATGTCTGGGGACCCAGGGTAGCCTCATCATGCAGCTTTAATACTGTTCTTCCCGAGAGCCCTGCAACCATATTGTTAGAATTCAAGGGTTGATGTTGATTAAAGAGGAACAATTTGTATATCATGGTTATAGCGACTGGAGCTAACATAATTGTCAGGATTATCTGAAACTGAGTAACTTACTTTGTCATGCTACCTGATTCTAATGCGTCCATGTATTGTATTTACTCCCTTTACTTATGAGAACATTGTAATTCAATTTTTATTTCAAGTCGTCTCGTTTTCAGGGGGAGCAATTCGCAATGTCGGAAATTATTATGTATGACTAATTTAATTAGCTTATGGTTTTATACGGATGCTGTGACACTCCACTTTGATTAATACCAAATTCCGTTCTGTTAACTGGAAGGCCTCATTAGGCATGCTATTTTCATCATTATCTTTCGATTTCTGTAAACTGTGCCATCACCATGGGCACAGTCGTCCAACTTAATGAAAATAATAACATAATAACACGCCTTTTTTGTATAGCACCTATCGCATTATGATATAACGTCTCAATTTCCAAAGGACTGTATATATTTGATTGCCCCAGCTTTAGCCCCGGCAACTGTAGGGCTCGGTGCTCTCAAGGACTGAAATCTTCCAGGTTGCTAATTAGTACACCTGTCTTGTTTGTGCGGCAAATGTAGATTAGAAATAGTGGTGGTTATTTTAACCGACAGCTAAGAAAGCAATAAATGCTTGTTAGTAAGCAACCAAAAGACCGACGGCTTAAGGTCCTCTCCGAGGGACCTGGTAATGAGGATTAATGCCTTACCAAAGGGCACTAGCGCATCGACTTGGTTTCGAACCCGGGTCACCGATTAACGAGACCACTGCTCTTCCGACTGACCTATCTTGCCAAAGGACGTTCATGCTGCGGCAGGGATTCGAACCCCTTACCTTGTGGATCACAACCCGGAAACGTATCCACTGGACCACCACACCTCTAGTTCTCTACACTTAATGGTGAAACAAATATTAGCTTGCGATAATCTGAAATTCCGATTTATAAAACCTTGACATAGATCTTCTAGACATAGGCCTATACATGTTTCTTTGTGCGATTTCTTGCGGGTAACACCTATAAATTAATGAATCGTGTAAATTGTTTGTAAATAATCGATTAGTGCAAATGGAATGCAAGGCAGAGGGAAGGTGATTATATTAATTAATACACCTCCCGTTCTCTGCACTTAATGGTGAAACAAATATTAGCTTACGATAATCTGAAATTCCGATTTATAAATCCTTGACATAGATCTTCGTGACATACATGATTGTTTGTTATTTTAATTGTTGCGGGTAACACCTATAATTAATGAATTGTGTAAATTGTTTGTAAATAATCGATTAGCGAAAATGGAATGCAAGGTCGTGAGAAGGTGATTCTGTTAATTAATTCATCAAAATCAATTGCCTAAATATTCGAACTGGTTGGTTGAGCCAGCGTAGGCCCAAAGCGAAGGCCCCTTCTACGTTTGCGCTCATCAAGTCTGTCATTAGTATTTTACCCCACAGGCCAGTATTCCCAACGCAATATTTGTAAGTGTGTACGATGTCATTCTAAAATGGCGCTTCAGCAAAAGTCGCTGCAAGTCAGCAAATGACACCCCCGATGCATCGGGATTCGGTTACCTCCCCTGCCCAAATTTATTTGATCAACTAATACAATTTCTATGTGTCTTTTATACTGTATTTTTTCATTTAATTTCATCATCATCTTGATCTACATTTTCTGCAAAATCATTAATTTTGAGGGGTACAGACTAAATATTGTAAGCAAATAATTTCTCTGCTGCATATAAAATGAAACTGTTGAAACAATTTTAGTTTTAAATGTCTAACTTTTGATAGAAAAAAATACCAGATGAGGGAGAAAATACAGAGGTAAACAATTGCTACTCTCGTCCCAAGTGTTAAATGGGTACCCGGTAGAATGCGACCGTCACAGTTTTTGAGCGTCATGTAACGCCTGGGGACGGAACGAAATGCGTCCAGATGCACGTCAAGATTTTGTTTTTTAAACCCACATGAATACAATCTTACATATCATTTTGCATCAGTAATTTTGAACAACTACTCGACTAAGACCTTCTTAAAGTCAAAAAGGCGATTTATAATGGTTTAATTTACGAAATTCTTTTTGTTAAAGACACGATACCAAGGACTTTCTTCAAGTCAACATTGAATGCCTCAGTCTATAAATCATTCTTTAATTATGTCATATGGCTTTGCATACATTGTTCGCACGTTTCAAAAGGTGACGCATAAGGCTCTTAACATCGTCTAGACTCTACTCTAGACTTTTGGGTTATTAATTATCATGTGTATACTATCATAGACGGTCTATCACCAACCAAGCAAGATTTATCGTTGTTGTTGAAATAAATCTTTATTAAGATACAAAATCACGTATAACATCATACATAAATATTTATAACAAGCACTTCATCACATGCTTTAAAATAAAATGATATATCTATATTTACTTGAAACAGGGAGATGTAACTGACATCTCCCTACTTGAAAGCACATTGTAAATGCATTTCCTGTAAATCTTAAGTTATCTTCATCCACTTTGTAGTATTCACATCTATTGTCTTAGTTTTATTTTCCTCAACTTCTAGTCTGTATTTTAACAATACAATACAATACAATACAATAAAGTCATTTATATAGCGCTCTTACGAACTAACTGTTGTTTCACAGCGCTTTACATAAAAAGTTATAAAAGAATCTATTGTTGATCATGGTCAAAGAGGAGAGTTTTTAGACATTTTCGGAAGACATCTAGTCCAGAATCTGCACGGTCCTTTATAATTTCCCTACTCTTGATTCAAGCCGTCGAAGATGGCGTTATCAACAAACTCATAATTATGCTCACAAGCCCAGCCGGGCGTCCTAATTTCATGATCACGCCATCATCGGCTGGGAGCAAGTAAGTAGGGAGAGGTTAGCGTTGGTGGTGGAGATCAAAATTAAATAGGCCAGATTCTGGACTAGAAGACATCCAGCGATGGTGCTAATCGAATAAAACGTGGAAGCTCATTCCAGAGTCGTGGAGCACATGCATGAAAAGCATTGTCGCCAGCTTTATGGTATGTTCGAGGAACGTGCAGCAGGGTGCTGTCAGTACACAAACAAATAATATTTGCTTCAAGCAAGCAAGATAAATAACACGCATCAATCACTGTTTTCTTGAAGAGTTGATATGCAAAGGTCGGTAATCGCATCAAACTCATTTTGTTTTACGCAATAGACTTTCCCCTTCTTTTCAAACTTTTTAAATGAGTTCCTTTCTTACATTTCTTTAAAGATTCAACGCATGAATGAGAGTAATCGTATTGTAAAGGTTTATTTTTGTTTTTTGTAAAGCAAATGACAACAAAATACGCATTGTTTCATTTTCCCCATTGTCGTATTGTTTTTCTACAAGAATTAGAATTATAGCAATCGTATTATCAGTGATATTTTTAAAACAATTTATCTCTCTCCTTAAGAGCAAAAATACATAAGCGGACATTTATGTTTATTCTTAAACATCGTTTCTAAACACATCGTAAGTTGTTGCATTTTCTCTCGGGTTCCTTATCCTGTTTCCCACACCGCGAAAGACATTAATCGTGTTACAGCTCATTCGTACAACAAGTTGTTTACAAGGAAAATCAAAAAGCGAGCGATTTGTATGTTACTGTTTGATCAATAGAGCGAAGGAAACACTTTGTCCGATTTCAAGGTTTCATGGAGTCGCAAATATTCCGTTATTATGCAGCACGTAACTGAGTAGCTCTTAACAATTGGACTGGCTTCTGTTTAGCAGGTTAAGTAAATACATCTGATCTATTTCATGTATACGTCCCCTTTAATTAATTAATCAATTAATTATAGTTCGGGTTCATTGGTAGTGTACTGAGCAACTAATCTATTTCTGATTTGCCATTTTTTCTCAAAATAAATAACAACAAGTATTCAGTTTGGCCCCATTTTGAAAAGATCTTCGTTCAATGACATGTAGGGTTAGTTTCACGCTTGGATTCATCTTGCTTTGTGATCTCTGAGCATAGACGTCTATGCTCTGAGTGTCTGTACTTCTCATCAGCTTTTGAGGATGATTACCCGACCAGAGCAAGCTTAGAAACCCATGGACCAATAACCAAGATATACACTCTAGAGTATTCGTCAGAACTTAAAATGGCTTCGAAGGATATGATCGGGTCGCTGCCGCACCTTGCGGGAGACATCGACCGACGAGATCGGAGCGGGCGTCCGATAGAGTTGAAGGCGTTGTCGAAGTCGAGTGCGTGTCTGACTACGAAGGGCCCAGGTTCAGATTCCGTTAGCAAGGCTTCGTCATTTTCTCGGGATAAAAGCCAGTCGGTGAGTTTATCTTTTATTTTGTAATTTTGCCTGAGTCATTGTAGGACAGATCGAATTTCTAAGGGCGCGTTTATGCTTCACTTTTGAAGGCAGAATGAGCGATTTGTAACGCTCATCGTAAACGCTCATCGCAACCGCAGTTCCACGGTGTACTGTTTATGCTTACTTCTCCGGCTCCTACAGGCAATTCTCCTTTGGTGGCCTTAATTGGTATTCCAGCTGGATTCGCAAACCTTCACTGTGCATGCTACGTAGACCCACTAGAGGTCTGTGCGTTGACCCCATTTAAACGCGTTTACAAATTGTAAACGCATCTTTTTGTGAGTTTACGATCGGCGAAAAAGTGAGCATGGACGCAACGGTGTTTTAAACTAAACGCGTAACAGATGCCTGATTCTGGCCAGAAAAAGTGAAGCATAAACACGCCCTAAGTCTAGACCAGAGATTTACGAGGGTTCAGTGACACAAAGACGTAACTCCATATTTTGCCAAAATGAGTACTTGATATAAAAACAAAAAAAATGAGTTCTTGATTCCTTTCCAGGAAACACAAAGACTGAACTCCACCCAACACCCCATTGAGGTCAATGGCTAGTGAAACATAGACTTAACTCCTTAAGGCTCAAGTGGACCTCTATCGTTAAAGCACTTTTTCTCAAAATGGCCAAAATGGAGTTACGTCTTTGTGTCACTGACCCCTCGCTTAGTTTCTCCTTTTCCTCCTGTGCCTCACGTGTAGTATTAACAGTTTTCTTCCACCTGTTCTTGGTTCTCATCAACGTTTTTGCCTACTCTCAGCTCCGTCTCATCCCATAAAACCTTTAATTACTATTTATTTTCATATGGGGGACAGGTAGAATAACACTCGAATAATTAACAAAAAGTTGTGGAAAAATCCCAAGAGTGTCACATCAGCGTCACTTGTCATGGTGGTGCCAAGCACCCTTTACAAAAGATGAAGATGTTTACTGACACCTTTTCAAAAGTTAAAAGTGTTTACTACCATACTTTTAAAAGATTAAAGTATTTACTATCAACTTTTAAAAAGATAAAGGCACTTTTTTTAGCATATAGATCGGGTTTCCCTACTAAAACGTTTCTGAGTTTGCTATAGCCGGACGCTTTAGGAGTTTCGAGAGAGAAAAAAAAATTACACAGCGCTATTCATGAATTTTGGTAATGTGAATCATCCATTGGTATATCTTATTTCATAGCTAGTGTTTGAGATTTGATAGATATTAGTGTTTACACTTTTCTTTGTCATTTTGATCAGACCCCATAAAGGATATCACACAGACAAAAAAAAAACGAAACGAAAAAGTCTAAAGGTCTGATATGTTACAAGTAATTATTTCGATAGTGGGTCTACATTATGTTGTTCATTTCATATTTCTGTAAATAATTACATAGTGTTTGTGGATGCCACTCATGCTTTCAATAAATGCAATTCACAGATCTATAACAGTAAAATCCTGAAATCGTTACGTTGAGATTGATCTAAATCGTCTTAACCTAATTTTACTTTACGATTTACCTAAACTATATTGGCTGCAGCCCCACCCCCCAAAAACAACAACAAGTAAATCGCAATATCCGGGCGCCTCCGCCTCTTATTTGGGCTGTGAAGTGTGAAGCGTGAGGACAAACTTTCCTTTTACAAAATTTTTCTAAGCTTGCTATAAAGCTTGCTCTCAAATTATCGAGAGTGTAAAGAGACGTAAGCCCCCCACCCCCTCGTCTGAAAACTTGTCATGCCCTTACTCAGAGAAATAAGATTCCTGAAGAGAACTGGTGAGCTCCGCTAAAAACTAATGGTCCTTGAAATTGAAAGGGGGGTATTTTTTTGTATTGAAAATAAAACTCAATGACATACCATATCAATAAAGTAAATGGATGTATACAGAACACGGTACACCACAGGACAACACAACACAAAACAGCACAACACATGTAACCCTGCAAAATTTACGTGCGATTCAGTAATATAGTTCTTTTCTTCCACATTGTTAACGATGAATAATCACACATCTGTTTGATAAAAACGTGTTTGTAAGAAAGCAATATATTCTACTTGGCAGAAACCTACACAAAAGCATGGTGATAATGTGCGAAAGCTGAAAAAGTTCTTCTTTAATGAAAGACATAATTGAAAATAAATTACGCAACGCTCAATCCAAAAGCCCCTTCAAACTGGATTTGAGAATATAATCTCCTATTAGTGGGTGGCTCAGTCACAAAAAAATACACCGAATTGAAATGGAAAAAAAATTAAAAAAATTATCATGAAATGATATCATTACAGTTGTACTGCTCTAAGCCCTGTGTCATGTTCCAAATTTCAAAATTAATTACGCAGTATCGCGCGAGCTCAAGCCGAAGATCACATTGAGATTAGTTTTCCTTACTCTCACCATGGACCTATTACGGAATAGGTCCATGCTCTCACTTAATATATGTTTGTTATGCCCTGGCGTCATTGTCAATGAATCTATGTTGTCTCGGATTTAGCAAAGGTAGCTAATCCCCCACTAATCCCAACTATCTAGGGATTAAAGATAAAGTTGAAATCTGGTCAAACGACTGTTAAAGAAATGTATGGAAGAGATTTGACAAGGGTTAATTTTGAAGCGCGTATATAAGCAGGCAGCAGCGGGTGTTTATACGGCGAGGTTTTTGAATCATCAAAATGATAAGAACTAAACGAGATCTTAATTAGCGATCGTGATATATTTTGATGTCACATGGTGAAGTTCCACAAGTGACGTCACGACAGCCACATGGACTTCTGGATCGAGCCACCTCTTTGGAGGTGTCATGGTAAAGTGGTTCAGTCACTTGACTATCAATCCAATGGCCTGGCACTATTGACGTCTTTTGGCAAGATATTGTTCCACATTTGCCGCTCTCCACCCACATGTGTAAATGAGTACCTGGCAACTGACCATTTTCGTAATGTAGTCGAATCTAATGCATAAATCTTTGTTAAGTGCCGCGTTACAATGAGAATGCAAATTACATACACTAATTGTTGCTAGGTAGGCCGAACATTATACAGAAAAAAAGGAAGAGCTACCCGAAACGATATTACGACACCTTACTCCCAAAAAGTAACACCGACCACCCCACACCAGTGCCCCCTCCCATCAGTCTAAAACAACGCTACGCCACTACCTGATCCAATCCCCTTCATACATGGGTTGTATTGGATACACAAATGCAATGCAATCTGTTTCTCCGGAACATTGATTAGGCCCCTCAATGCGGGAGTAACAATAGCGACTCCTTTGCTTAAACCTTCTTTTCTTTTCAAGGTTTTCTAGATTTTGTTAATTGAAGGCGTTCATTAAACTTCGATGAACGATTTGATACGGTCCAAAAAGCATTTCCCCCTAACATTATCGATTTGTGAGTGGGCATAACAAGTTAAGGAGGGGATTTGTCTGAGGGGAACTTCTTCACGATCACTACAGGCAGGCTGTTGGCTATAGGGTAACAATCGTTGAGCGCCAGGAGTGTCAAATCTGACAGACATGAGCGGTATTATGTACAAGAACCCACTATTGTTAATATTATTATTATGCAAGTCGTTGAACGAAATGTCTTGGTAGGAGTAGTACATGTAGTAGTAATAATTAAAATATAGCTTACTAAATATGAGCGGGAAAATACTAAATACAAGTTAACAAACTGCATTTGACCATAAAGGTCAGTAAATAATAATAATAATAATAATAATAATAATAATAATAATAATAATAATAATAATAATAATAATAATAATAATGATGATGATTTAGAGAAAGTATATGATACAGTACAAGGAATTTATAGGTTGCAGAACAGATCATATGATGTAATAATACAGCAACAACAAAATATGTACAAAATGCTCTACTTTATTAAAAACATTATTTTAATTCAACTAAGGTTACAGAATAAGGCGTGTTTTCAAGAGACTCTAGAAGATTTGCAGAGTATAGGAGCATCTTAGGAGTTCTGAAGTGCTAGGCTGCTTCAAGGTCAAGTGGGTGATCTCATACTCCTTGAATAAGTGAGTGTTGAAGCATTGTGTCGTTGCATTAGTAAAATAATCGTCGATATCACGTAGTTTTTGCTATTTAGCTGTGTCCCCATATTAAAATAATAAAATAATAACAAACGTGTTTGCTATCCCTGCGGATTTTAATATATAAAAATTAAACGACGAGTATAATATATTTCCAAGTAAAGCGAATAGTTATGAGACTATAAGGATCTTTTTTTTTTAATCCCTGAAAGGTTCGAAATATCCGAGATGGGGTGATTACCCTGTTACACCTTCTCCATGTACTTCGCTACATCGCAGTAGCCCCACAGACAAATGTATTATTTCAGGTTATTGAACTACGTCTGGTTACCAACTTTTTGCATGAACGCCCCCGCCCCGCCCCCGCATAAAGTATCGAGTAATTATGAAACTTTTGTAATTGATAGGTAATAGAGTGCGGATTTCGCGTGAGAAGCGAACAAAAACAAGAAGAAGAGAAAAATGAAAATGAAATAAGAACAAGCAAAAACAAACAAAAAAGTAACAGCCGAAGAAGAACATTATATGTGATCAGTGTGGCATACTCTGCATTATCTCTCCTTTCTTGTTCTCTTTTTCTTGATTTTGTTCTCCTTTCTTTTGTGCAAGACTTTAATATCCCTCTATATATCTCTCTCTCTATGATCAACTTAGTATCTATACAGCTAAGCTTCGCCCTTCCCCCACAACATGTACCCACTACAAAAAAGGAGAATGGCTTCTCTCATTAGTCTAATATCATGAATAGCACTCTATTTAATCACGTTTTAAAAAGTGTGTTTTCATGCACGGTATTGGAGCGTGGCAAAAGAAAAAGTCCTATTCTGAAATGACCCAACTTAAAATCGTCTAACTCAAATGGTTACTATGTTGGGACGTTACTGACTTTTCTAAATTATGGGAGTGAAAGTATTGATACGTTTTTAAGCATTAACAATTTAAACACACCAATGAATGAAACACGGCGACTCAGCATCTTAACTTTTTAACTGTGATCTCTCAAGATAAATAAGCACTTGGAAACAAAATAAATACAGTTCAATGAGTTCAATTTATAATTCAGCAATTGAACTGGTTTTTACATTTGACAAAGTGAAGATGTCTGTAATTATAATCGAAGAAAAACCTGACCAGACAATAAATTGAACGCAGTACTAAAATAACAATGTATATATTCATGTATTAGTTCATACACTCAAAGATATTCAGTTTTGCATGAATATACATAGACTAAAATTTTGATTTGAGAATATAATGAGATATGAATAATAGGATATCAAGCTTCAATGCCTTTCAAATGCAATTTCAATGCGGAGACTTGTCGACAAGCGACGCGTCACGACGTTGATTTTGAAGACTGTCAATGTTCTACTTCAGAGAAGCTGAAATGTTCGGCGTCCTGAACTTGGATGAACTACATGTAGTCTAGGAGCGAAGACCCAATCCAAACATTGACGAAACCGGGAAAAAAACTCGGCGACAGTGAAAATCCCTGTCAGTTGAACCCGATAAGTACCAGGAAAAAACATAGAGATGAGTTATACAAAGCAGCTATTATACGAAGTGAACAAGGTTACAGGCAGACGCGTACGCAGGGAGGGGGGGGGGGGGGGGGGGTTAAACCCCCCTTGAGTTTTTTTTTTTTTATGTTTTGAGTATGTGTCCTCTTACCTCTTAAGGATGTAGCTGTTGGGAGCTATGCCGATGATCGCGGGGAGAAATTTGTTCGAATCCCCTTGGAGAAAGATTACACACTAAGTGTAAATGATAAAGTATCAATAACCGGGAAACTGCTCTGCTCTGAACTAAACGTAATGTAACCCACGATTTTGCGTAACCAAGAATAACATTATTTACATAATAAATTACAACAGTCCGTGTCTTGGAAATATCTTTTTTTAGAATTAACCGTGTCTCAGAAATACCAAATTGCGTTAAATTCGAGTTTACACGGTAACACATGGAATTAAAAAGTTTTTTCAGTAAATTTCTGATTTCTTAAATGAATTGAAAAATCGTCACTACAGCTAAGCTGTCACTATGACCCCAGATTGTATATACAAAAACAAAATATTATCAATAATGATAATAATTGCTCTTTATCGAGCGTTTATATCAGCATGTTGTGAAGCTCATGGGCGCTTAGACACTGTTCTGTATAGACGAACAACCCAAGTAACTAGCTCTTAAAAATATCGGGTATGGATTTACACTTGTTGGAGAGTGGCAAATTTGAAGTCGACTTGGTAAGATAACTTATGTCGCCATGACAACATGAACTTTTTGTGAAGTCGACTTGGCAAGATAATTTATTTCGCCATGTCGACTAATAAAAGTTGATAAGTCGACATGGTAGGTTAAATATCTTTACATGTCGACATGATATGGATATTAAGTCGACTTGACAAGATAAAATATCTCGTCATGTCGTCAAGTAGAAAGGCACTTTAACGCTTCCGTAGCATTGTATGGAGCGTTCGATGAATTTTCGATGCCTTTAAAAATGACTTGCTTCCCTAGTGCCTCAGTCACATCTTTGCGTATTTGACTTGCGTATTGCTGCGTATGTATGGCACGCCGTTTAAAAAGTTATTTCTATTTCTTGATTTCAAGAAATGATTTTCTGTTGTAAAGCAATGGTTATTCTAGATATCAAGAAATATGAATAAATGTTAAAACGGCTAGCTATAAATACGCAGCAATACGCAAGTCAAATACGCAAATGTGTGACTGAGGCAGAACTTGTGGGTATTCAGTGACCCATAACCAGTGTTGTTTATAGTGATGTTGAGAATGATCTACATTTAGAGGAGATGGTGCACATAATGGCTCAGTTATCAAAAAATTTAGGATACCAATTATGAGACCAAGTTACGGTTTCCATACCTGTTTCTACAACGCATGTAGCTTTCTTTGAATCAGTATAATAATCACATGCATCATATTTGCAGCAACTGGTTACTTTTTGATACAAGAAATCATGATATCACAATTCATTACATTTGTTAACGTCAAATGTATCATGTGTTTTATTAGCAGAGAACTATATCATTTAGATTAAGCTCAATGAATATTCAACGAAGCTTCATCTTTCAAGGACATCATCTTTCCAATTTCTGTTTCCTTTGTGGCTAGTATTTGTGAAATTCAGCTCCTTTTTTTCTTTCTCTCTTTCAAATGTAGTATTTACATCATCTTTGGTAATATTTTTTTTTTGTCTGCAGTGGTACTCCTCCGGGTTTCAATCACAGTACACAGACATCGTGGTTGCGGGGGCGAAGATGGGCGACCATGAGAAGATGATGGACATGCTTAGTAAGCTCGGTACCGAAGGCTTTGCCGCCATCATCAGAGAGCATGATGGGAAGAATAATGGGCCACTTCACTATGCCGCCCTCAACAACGATGTGCTCATGACCAAGTTGTTGATTCAGTATGGTGCAGGTATTTATATGTCCTGTGATTTTCCTATTGATTTTTGGGATCAAGATTGGTATAATTATGATTCAATTCAGAGCGTTCCTTGAATTAGGGAAGGGGGGGGGGGATCATGGGAAAGAGCACATTGACTAAAACGTGATGAAATGAGTGTGTCTTCTAAACAAAAAATGGGAAGAGTGGATGAAGAGCCTACATACTCAAGCTCCACCCCCCCCCCCCCACCATCAATGTGGACCCTGTCTATCTACATATTGTTCTAATTGTATTGATTCACAGAAAACATCGATATTTAAATCATAATTCTATGCTTTATTGTAAGATCACGAAATAGGTCTTACTTTTGATTACATTTTAAATAGAAATATTCTCTTTCGCTTGTCCATTATGCAAAACGTGAATTAATCTAAACTAAAAACATTATATACAAGATATAGGAGAGATGGCTAAATATGGTGGCATTGATAATACTGTATGAAACTCAAATATTACAAACTTCTCGTTGTTTATCCTTGATCTTGAGAAGAAATATACAAATTGTGATTGCCCGGCCTTGCTGAAGAACAGCTATTGACTGTAAGTATGCCACCGTGCTAAAATAAAATAAACAAACAAACAAACAATTCATTTTTATCATTGCAGACGTCAACGATATCGGAAAAGGTGGAAAGCGGCCTCTTCACTTCGCAGCGATCGGAAAAGCCAGCGACAGGGCTCCTACAATACAGGTAAATCTTCGGATAACAAGTCGCTGTCCAATTTGAAACCCATAAAATGGAATGATATGGATGACAGCGCCTAAATTTGCTTATCTTTTGAAATGGCATAGTCGAAAAGTATGTTTCGCCATTAGCAGACTTTTGCTCATAACCGTGACTATAACTAAACAATCTCGAACTAAAATGTAAATGATCGTCCTCAACTGACTTTTACAAGATTTGCGATTCGTCCGGATTGACTGAAAATCCTCGAATCAGTCACAAACTGATACACTCCTGTCTCTTTACAGACCTGCGATTCACATTATGTTGTGACCGATTTAAATACATCGCACTATTTATAAGACAAGGACTATCGTTTATTTTTGTAATAGCTAGCTTAACAGTGTAAATAGTAGAAATATATTTGAAACCGGTCAAGGAAAGGTCTAGCAAAAGACCATATTATCCTTTCAAAAGTTGGAGATACCGATCGCGGATCGATTTCGGCTCGCCTTTGGCATTGTACATGTATATTGCATATGATGATTTTAGGATATTATCACACAAAACACGATCGCAAAGTCTTTCGAGACGTCACTCCAAGGTCAATTTAAATGCCCTAATGAAATCATATCCAGATTACGTGATAGGCCATTGTAAAGTTTGCGTATTTTAACATGTGATGGACTAGGCTTCTAAGAGTGCCTCAGGTTTATTTATCGAATTCTTTGCGATATACCATGGACCTACTATGAAGGAATATGGATATACTATTAATAATGAAACTTCGGCCATGTGTTGAAATCGTTCCAAACCCGACTCCATCTCTATTCTTTAATGTATTTTTTCTTTTAATTCGTTGATTAGAGCAATGAGCAAGGCGACCTTCCGTCATATGCCAAGCAGGCCGATTCATCGTCTCAAAGCTCAGACGAGAAACCTGACTCTGACGAATTCCCGCTACGACTCGCCAAATCCATCTTGGGATTAAATTTCACGAAGAAGAAAAAGAAGAGAAAAAAGTCAGAGATTTCATTGAAGAGCGGTGAGGACGAAGTGAAACATCCGTTGGAAGTAAGTCTTTTTTTTCTTAGTCAGGAAGACAGGATGGTGGTGATGATGGTGATGATGGTGGTGATGATGATGGTGGTTGTGATGATGATGATGATGGTGGTGGTGGTGATGATGATGGTGGTGGTGACGATGGTGTTGTTGATGATGATGATGATGGTGATGATGATGATGATGATGGTGTTGGTGGTGGTGGTGGTGATGATGATGAGATGGTGGTGGTGGTGGTGGTGGTGATGGTGATAATGGTGGTGGTGATGATGATGGTGGTGGTGATGATAATGATGATGATGATGACGATAGTGTTGTTGATGATGATGATGATGATGGTGATGATGATGATGATGAGATGGTGGTGGTGGTGGTGGTGGTGGTGATGATGATGAGATGGTGGTGGTGGTGGTGGTGGTGATGATTGTGGTGGTGATGATGATGATGAGATGGTGGTGGTGATGGTGGTGGTGGTGATGATGTTGATGAGATGGTGGTGGTGGTGGTGGTGGTGATGCTGGTGGTGATGATGATGATGATGATGATGATGAGATGGTGGTGGTGGTGGTGGTGATGATGATAATGGTGGTGATGATGATGATGGTGGTGGTGATGATGATGATGATGATGACGATGGTGTTGTTGATGATGATGATGATGGTGATGATGATGATGATGACGATGGTGTTGTTGATGATGATGATGATGATGATGATGAGATGGTGGTGGTGGTGGTGATGACGATGGTGTTGTTGATGGTGATGTTGATGATGATGATGATGATTGATGATGGTGGTGGTGGTGATGTGCTTGTTGGCCCTTATTTTTGTGGTGGATGTGATCACTAGGGCTACTAGTACATGTATAACCTTGTTAACGGTTGAAAAGAATTTCATGATCACATTTATGTTTTATTAATTCTATTTCCAATATGTTTTAATTTCTTCAAGACAATATTGTGTTGTCGATCATAATTTCATTTAACTTTATGTCTCATTGTAATTTTAGGGGAAAGCAATAATTGTTGCTAGATTTTAGCAAAAATCGTTTGCCATGGCTGCTCTCACCGTTTCAGAAATCATAATAATTAGTGGTAACCCGACACATGCTTCGCCGACGATTGCTCCGCGACATTTGCTCCGCGACATTTGCTCCGCCGACATTTGCTTCGCCGACAATTGCTCCGCAAAACGCGACAATTGCTCCGGTGACATTTGCTCCGCCGACAATTGCTCCGCCAACAGTTGCTCCGCCGACATTTGCTCCGCCTGAAGCGACACTAGCTCCGGTGACAAATGCTTCGCCGACAATATTTTTCTTTCACGGGTTATTTTCGTTTCCTTTTTTTCTTCATTTTCTGAATGCATTTCATGAAATAATGTAGATGAAATGAAATGAATGAATGTTGATGACAATATTAATAACTAGATTTGTAATACTTGTTTTGAACAAGTATAGGTGGGCTGGTCTAATTTAAATTTGAGACAAAATAAAGGGCAAATTTAAGATAGCTTATTGTCTCAGCTACAACATACTCGAATTTCGGCGTAAACGAAGCTAAAACGACGGAGATATTGCTCGCGAAAGACGGGAATGTGGAATCCAGTTTTGAAAAAAAGTCATGTCCCATAAAGAATACACGCAAAAAGTGAAAAATTGATATTCCTCCTTTAATCGCAAAAATACGCCATGATGATTTTGTCGAAATGAAAAATCATGTGTAATGCATTTGTAGTGAATTATCTCAGCTAGAACATATCGAAAGTTGGAAGAAAATCAATCAATATTTACAGAGATACAATCAATTTTCCAAAAATATGCTGATGTCATAATATGCAAATTGGAATTTTGAGTTCGGAGGCCATTATGATCACGTCATGAGTTAATTGAGGGTCAAATGAGACAAAAAAAATCATATTTCCAATTCATACTCTACAAAATATGAAACAAAATTTGACGTCACATTACATCCTAAAGAGCTACAATGGATTTTGTATAGGCATGTTTTTGCCCATATATGCTATGTATTACAAGAGCTCGCACGCACGGACGTGTATCTTAAACGGACGCTCACTCCGTTATTAATGGTCAGAAATATGTTAACAAGGTATCAAAATGCTTGGGAAAATGTGCCAAATATGATGACAAAGAAAAATTGGCGATTCTTTGTTCCAAAAAGCCAGAACGCGCGAAAACACGCGCGCATGCGGGTGTGCGAGATTTTTTATAAAATGCTTAAAATGGCCTAAAACGTATGTAAAATTATTTTGAGATTATTTTGAGCATTTTAATATTTTGCGCGCGCACTGACGCGCGTACGTACGCGCACGCGCGCGTTTTTTTGGACCTGAAATTGACCTGACGAATATTGACCTTAATCATGATAAATATGAATCAAAAATGGCTTTTGGCTACGAAGTTGATTTTCAGAAAAAATTACAAAATGGCGCCTAGATGACGTCATCAGTGAAGGTCATAGTTGAAAACGTTATTGTGTTTTGTCCATATGCCTATACAGTGCGTCCCAGAAAAAACGAAACCGAGAAGTATCGATGTGTTATCATAACTTTATCACCACCATGATTAATGAATGATACATATTTGGAAAGCTTATAGTCTCCTCTTTCAGTTGATGCTACTCACGTGATGCATATTTCACGCATGAGTGATTAAAAGCAATTTTAAGGAAGGAAACCAGAAAGTAATTTGGCGGGCGGTATTTGAATTTCAAAGAAAATTTCATATTTCTAGAAAGTTCATTTTCTGCTCTTTCATATGATACCTCAGTCAAGAAAAATGAGCTAGGAATAACAAAGTTCTGTTTGTTGAAAGTTGCCCTTACATTTTCATAATTTTAACAAACGAATTCGTTTTCACTGGGTGCCTGCCGTAGCAAAAAACAGATTCGACAAAAGACTTAACTCCGTTTCGTTGACAATCAGCCATGCATGAAGACTCTCGTCTACGGCCGATTGTCAACAAAACGGAGTTAAGTCTTTTGTTAATTTTACAATGAAACTGTTTTGGAAGTACTTGACCAGCATTGCCCTGCGACTAAGCGTGTCCATCGTTTTCGCTCTCGTCCTCCGTGGTATACAGATGAAATTCATCAGGCAAGACGTCTTCGGCGTAAAGTTGAAAGGCGCTGGAGAAAGTCGCATACAGTCGAGAGCCGCCAGCAATATCTCTCCCAGGTTCATGCGGTCTGCAAGCTCATTGAAAGAGAGAAATCAAAGTACTATACAGAACAGTTAAGCAGTGCAGACGTAAAGAATGTGTTCCATGTTCTGAATACGCTTTTGAACAGGTTACCGATGGCTCTACCGGTTGATAGCTCTACTACATCACTACCAGAGAGGTTTGCTACTTTCTTTGAACAGAAGGTAGAGAAGATTAGAGCAAGTCTTATGACAGGTAATGCAGGAGTTACGGACACCTGTAATGATGATGGGATGATCACGGATGCCTCTGTTCCTATCACCGAACTGTCAGATTTCGACACTGTGACTCTTGAGACGGTCTGCAAATTAATACGTTCTTCACCAAATAAGACATGCTCGCTAGATGCACTACCAACGTGGCTTTTGAAAGAGAACATTAACACTTTTCTTCCATATATTGCATCAATTGTACACACATCATTGAGTAGCGGTGTCTTCCCCTCAGCACTGAAGGAAGCTGTGGTAGTTCCACTGATCAAGAAGAGCAATCTTGATAGGGAAGATCTGAAGAACTACAGGCCTGTCTCAAACGTCCCTTTTCTATCAAAAATCATTGAAAAGGCTGCATTGTCTCAACTCTCGGACCACATGGACGAACATGATTTGAACGTTGAGAACCAGTCAGCTTACCGCCGTTGGCACAGTACAGAGACTGCTCTTCTAAAAGTACAAAATGACATTCTGGGAGCATTGGACAACAGGTTGGTTACCTTTGTCGTATTCCTGGACCTGTCTGCTGCGTTTGACTGTGTTGACCACACAATACTTCTACAGCGTATGGACAAGCTTTTTGGCATCTCAGGAATGGTGAGATCGTGGTTTGACTCGTACCTGTCAGACAGAAGCTTCAGGATGAAGGTTGTGAATGAGCTATCAGAACAAAAACCTCTGAGATTCGGAGTTCCACAAGGCTCAGTGGTTGGTCCTCAACTTTTCAGTTTATACACTCATCCTGTAGCTGATATCATCAAGCATCATGCAGGGATACAACACCACATCTATGCAGATGACGTGCAACTGTACATCTCTGTCGATCCAAAGGACAGGCATGCAATGACAGCTGCTCTTGAGTCATTATCTGCGTGTATCATCAATCTGCAACAATGGATGAAGAGCAACATGTTGAAACTGAACTCTGAAAAAACGGATTTCCTTATTGTTGCTAGTCCACGCTATCGACATCTCATATCAGGGATTGTTCTGACCATTGGTGGTACAGTTATCGAGCCTTCAACCTCTATCCGAAGTTTGGGTGTTGAGATTGACGCTAATCTGAAGTTGAATCGCCACGTGTCATCTCTATCCAGTTCGCTTCACTTTCATTTGTCCAACATAGCACGCATCAGGCCCTTCCTGGACCAGTCTGCATGTGAGCATGCTGTGAGAGCGCTCGTCTCGTCTAGGATCGACTATGCAAACTCCCTTCTCTGTGGCACTTCTGCATTAAATGTGAAGCGTCTGCAGCGAGCTCAGAACCGTGCTGCAAAGTTGGTTTTTCGGGCCAAGAAGTACGACCATGTAACACCTTTCCTACAACAACTTCATTGGCTCCCCGTTGAAAAGCGCATAACATACAAAATTCTGACTATTACATACAAATGTCTTAATAATTCTGCTCCCAACTACCTCACGAAACTCTTACGTAAGCATCAAACAGCAAGACCAGGGCTCCGATCAAGCAATGACCCAGCACTACTCGCAGTTCCAAGGACCAATACATGTACAGGTGACAAATCCTTCTCTTCTGCTGCACCACGCCTATGGAACAACCTCCCCCAGAACGTACGGACG